ATGTCCCCATTTGTTTTGAGATCAGCGACTACAGATAATATATAGAATTTCTAAGAATTTGAATGTTTTAAAAGTAATTTCCAAACACTATACAGATGTTGATTATCCCGGTACTCTAGGCAGTTTATATAGTAACCTTCATCCAGATTGGTTAACGCATAGAAGAGAAGCTAGTGAACAGACATACATGCATACGCTATAACTATTAGAGTAAGATGTACTCTGGGGGCTTGAGTCTCAGAAAAATATAAATTATATTAAGGTAAAAATTTGTACGGCTTCATAAATTATGCGACACAAATCAAGAATTACAGCTACGCACAACAGCCATCCACCAAGAAGAACAACCGGACTTTCCAGTATTTTCCAGCTTCATGATCTTAACTTCACTGTCAACAGATATCTCTCAAAACAAGGTCCCAAAATTGCAGTTTACCAAACAGTTTCCAGTGCATAAAGAGCAAATAAACAAGGTGCAATTTTGTCTCAAACCCACATCCAGCATAACTCTCAGTTATGAGGGGGAATCCCCTGTCAGCATAGCCACATGGGCCTAGACCTGGCAGAGGTTTTGATAAAGCCTTCAGCCTTTGGCGATAACCCTGTGACGACTGTGATCAATCAGCAGAGTATTGTGAACCTGGTGGAGTTTTGTATAATAAGCTTAATCATTTACAAATGTGGTACAAGTGGGTATTTAACTGTGTTCATGGTTACTACACAACAATAACTAAAAGAAATACAGTTTGACACCTTGAGTTAAATACTCATAGAAAATGAAGAAAGAAATGTTTGAAAGTTTTAGAAAATATAAAACAAAAAGAATTTAGACTTTAGCCTAGTTTCCACACACTTCATCACATATAGTAAAGGTATCTTATTTATAATAATCAGCTGATACTGACGAGATCTGATTGGAGGCACACACAAAGAAATAACTGAGAGCTGGATAAATTAAATGTGCTTGAGAGGAAAACCACTGAAAAACAGCTGTATATTACTACAATATACTTAAACTATTATAACACTAATAACTGGATTACCTTTTGGCATCAAGTTAAATTTCATTATAGGCATTTAACAAGACTTTAGACCTATACCACAACATTTTTAAGAAAAGAAAGAAACTGAAACTAGCAATATCAAAGCTTTAAGCAAAGAGCTGGATAGATGTAAGCCCATCCAAATTCATCAATCAGTCAGACACAAAAATCAGTTCATCTGGTAAACAAACAATACAGTATTACAATAGCAGGGGTTAATCTTCTACACACTGCCCCCCTTTAACTCCCCTCCTGCCATTCATCCTATGTGCACTGCTTGGCAAAACAGATGGATGAAGCACATGAATTCTGTTCTCAGATCTCCCCACCCCCATCTCTACACCACAAATGTAGTATTATTTAAGATATAATAGTCCTTACTTTCAAAGAACACACAGTCCCTATTACTATTAAACTAAAGCAAGTCAATATTACCAACGAAACCAAAGCTAAAGCTTCCAGATAAAGCAATAAAAGAAGAAAGCATAATTAATAAAAATAGTATTAAGCAACCACTTTATGTGTGCTTTTATTAGGTTTTCGTGCAATAAAATAATAATCAACAATGACAAGAAGTCTTTTTAATAATATAAATATACCTAATATTGAACCTCTGCCCCGGTAATAACAGGAATCAGCTGGTGCCATTTTTTGAGTACAAACCGCAGACGGTAAGCTTGGAGTTTATTGCTTTACATCGACAGGGAAGAGGGTGAAACAGGGTCACAGCACAAATGCTGTCAGTTTAGACACTGAACTTGACCTTTTCCTGAACCCAGAGCCTTTACACAGGTTCACTGCCGTTATCATTAGGGTGCCACACAAAACAAAAATGGGACCATTACCGTGAACACAATGTGCCAAAAAAAAGAGAAAAGAAAAGCAGGCCGCTCTAAAGAAAACATATCAGTTCTCATTCACTAAATCGCTTATTGTCCATTAAAAACCCGCATTGAAAACGAAGAAGTTGCCCTGCTAACATAAAACAACGAATCCGGGGATTTAACAGTTGGGTGAAGTTACTTACCAGGCGCTTGCTGTACCGTGTATGAGAATCCTCCATTATTCTCTGGAAGCGAAACAAAAGTTTCTGGTCACACAGATGAAATATCCAACCACTGTCCGAGTATTTTAGTTTGTTTTTACACCCAGTCGGACAGAAACACACCCCCTCTCAGCCAGATACCCCTGCTAACGTTAGCCAACAGTGTTACTGTAGCCAGCAAGCTACGGTTAGCACAGCACATATAATTACCAACATAAACGTTCATCTCGCGTCATTCTATGATGATAACTGCCTATAAGAGTAGCTTAATTTTAACACAAATACCCGGAACCACCGTCTCAATTTTCTTCCGTTTTTTAAGTGGCCTTATCGGCTAGCGTAGACTAGCTCAGTTGGCAAGCCCTTTCTTGAGTCGTCCGCTATCGCTAGCTAGCTATCGTTAGCCTCTGTACACGGTAGTTGTAAGCTTCTTTATCATTACCTCCGCGATTTAACTCCTTTTAGTCGCAGCGGTCACAGTAATGCTTCCCAACTAGAGCGTCCAAAACCTCCCAGTAAAGTTTCTCCCCATGTTATGGGATAATAGCTGTGTATATTGTTATGTTTATTATTGTGCGATAAAGTTAGAACGGTTCGAAGCCAAGAGACGCCATTTCCAGCTAGTCAAAAAACATACACACGAAACGGAAAAAAAAAGGAAAACCCTCAGGACCCACCCCTATTTACTCCACTGCTCCGAGAAATTAGCATGTAGGCGCTCTCATTGGGCACAGGGTGTGTCACTTAGAGCAGATTAGCATATGTTAACATACAAGTATGTTTAGTTTGTCTGCTCCGGTGTGACCGGTAAATTAATATTTTATATAAAACAAATACTACTGGTATTTTAGTATTAAAATTTGTATTAAAAGCATTTTATATTATTAGACACCAAGTAGTGTCTATTTTTTTTTTGTTACCCGATCTCTACGTCTGAAGATTTTGTGCCTTTACACTGTGTTCTGACAGCATGAACAATGAAAGTAATAAGAAATGGACCACACACCTTGTGATATCTGGCATAATTAGAAAATTATTCCATAATTTTGGAATAATACTAAAGGAGGACCTAAAATTATCAAAGCTGGCTACAGTGGGGGGCATTAAGAATGAGAGATATTGCTCTTGTAATGAGCAGCAGTGTGTTGTTGATGTCAAACTGATTTGAACTGATGGGGGCGCAAGAGTAACTCGAATGACCACTCGCTACAAGGTGTGCAGAAGAGCATCTCTAAACCCGTTGAACCTTCAAGCAAATGGGCTACAGTAGCAGGAGACCACTTCTGTCATTTAAGAACTGGAAACTGATGCTACAATTTACACGCAGTTACCAAAACTTGACCATTGAGACTGGAAAAGTCTCCGTTTGTTCTGCGACATTTGGCTGGTGTCTGAATGTGGCGTGAAGAATATAAAAGCATGGATCCGGCAAACACAGAACAGGAAAACGAGCGCACCCTCATCTACTGCTTGCCCCGCATCGTGTGGTTGGGCGGGGCTTGCAGCTGGTTAGGAAGAACAGCGAGATGGGGATGAAACGAGGTCAGGAAGGGTCTTCATCCGCGGATGCAAAGTCGTGCTTATATCAGCTGCTGCATTTACGTCTTTGACATAGGAAAATAGCTCCACACGGCCGATTCTATGCAAGTCAGGGTCATCGGGATCCCTCCACGCAAAGAGGCGATCAGCTGAGCCTCATGCAAGAAGCGAGCCGCACACAGCACTTGATGTAACGCACAGAAATTTTATTACATAACAGGCTTTACAGAGACAACACAGCCAGTGAGCGACTGACAGCCGCTGTTACGGAAAACACCATCAGACAGATCTCACACACAAAGTCACGCACATTTTTAATCATAATTATGACAAACAGGCCAGAAAATACCACTAAACTGGACACTTTGGAACAGATCATTTTGGAGCCGAGACAGTAAAATAATTAAATATGTATATTAAAAAAAAATAAAGAAAAGAAAATGATTAAAATGTGTTCTTCCAAAGTTTTATTTTATCCTGAAAAAGATAATTTCTCTAAATATGGGGTTTTCCCTTGATGCACCACCAGGAGGCGGTAGAGTATATGATTACAAATCACGAGTCAAGTCACCTGGCTGTGAACAGTCAGGCTGAGACATCGACACACAATACATTTCAAACACTTCATATAGCAAGAAAATTGTTTACATTTCAATTAATAATAAAAGAGAAAGTGAATGGGACGGATGTGATTTTTTGTTTTTAAATACTTTATTGTATATAAATAGGGGGGGGGGGGGTATGAAGGAGCATCAGGGGAATATTCCTAATTTTTGGAGAAATCCTTCGTGCCTACAAACACCACACAGAGACAAAAGAAATGCAGTCTTTAAGCATTCAGAGAGTCCGCATAAACAATAGCACTGAAAGGCTGATGCAGGTGTTTTTTTTTGTCTTTTACCTGTGTAAAACGGTTTTTATGAGAAGAAGCTGTAGAGATAGGAGAACCCAACGATCCCAATGATGGCACAGCACAATGTAATCATCATCTTTTTCTGGAGACGCAATCAGAAACACACAGACGATAAAGAGAGGAATCAGGCTTTACTTTGCGAGCCGACGCAATTATCAACATTGATCGACACTGGTTTGAGGAAACAATTGAGCAAAAGCAGAACAAAGGGTTATAGAGGTTTGTGTGTAACTGTGTGTGTAAAGAGACAGGAAAGGTGAAACGACTTACCCCCTTTTTTGACACGTGTGCACCAGTCTTTAAAAGCTGTACTTTGCAACACTGTGGTTAACATGCTGACAGCAGCTACTACACTCCAATAAAACACACACACACCACTTTGCAACAAGCAGTCATCAGAATGTAAAATTCAGTTACATAATTCCATTTCTGCAAGTCAAACAGACAAATAAACACTGGGTAATTTAACACATAAAATCTTTAATTTCTGATAAAATCATTGACATTTACACAGGTAAAAAAAAAAAGCTTCAATTTTCTCTTATGTTCCAGTCTGCGTCAACGGCTCAAATAAAATGGATTGTGCCCCTAAATGATGATGATGCTGCGGGATTCTCATTTTCAAATGCTTCATACAAAACCACAGTTTAAAATTTAATTAATGCTTAAATTACAACATTGTTTTACTGAAATCGGCCTACTCCCTTATGTCAGGGCTTCTCCTCATGACTGGTTGGTACTGATTTTATGTACGGCTGGAATCATGTGCTTTAATTACCCTGTTAAAGGCACTGGATGACAACCTGTGCACTTTGGTTTGGTAAACTGTCAGTTCCAAAGATTGTCTGAAATGAAATGAATGAAATGATGATGGACAACCATTACTGAATCCAACAGGGAGGTACATGTTGCTAAAGCTAATGTGATCTAATACACAGCCCTGCAAAAATCCTGTCGTCTTTTTTTTGAAAATACAAGTTTTCTATGTACATTAAAATGACTTCTTTAAATAAAAAAAGGAGGTATAATGTTCATTTTAGTTGAAATTGTTCATTAAGACTCGATGGGCTTTTTGGAGGACGTACTTTGTGGTGCGGATGAACTGGTTACAGTAAGAGGTGTTTGTAATATTGTCCCCACCCCCCACATTCACTAATGAGGGCAGTCTAAATGTTAGACACACCTATGAAGTAAAGAGCAGCACACATACAGCCTCTGTTAAAAATGTCAAACCATTACATCCTAAGGCTGTGTAAACAAAACCTGAACATTATCACCTTCGCAAACATCAGATGTACTGCAGGACTGTGTCTAAAACTGGCAACTCAGTAGTAAAACCTAAAACATGCCTGTTAAGGCATTTCCTAGTAGTAAGACAAGACTAGCCACGGATACTTTACAGAGTGCCCATTTGTATGTGACGTCATAAGCAACATGTCTTAGAACAGTAGAATAAATACAAAAAGACTATTCTGGCACTTACGGGAAACAAACCACTAGTGTTACTACCAGACTCTCTAAAACTCCTTTGGCATTGAAATATTTCTACAGCACTTTAACAGGAGGAGTAACTGTGTCTATACATGTAAAAGCTTTGGTTTGGGTTGTGAAAAGGATCAAATTTCAGCTGCTACAAGTAAGCAAGTAATGAGCGTTCATCACACGCGCCTGTAAGTTCATGAAATGTGTTCCCATAAGTGCAATCCTTCATATTTGTTTTTTTAACAACCAGTGATAATTACACATATCTGAGCTACGCATTTGGAAATGTTAAAGTGCTGGAACTCCCCAAACCCTAACAAGAACAACAACAAAAAGAAATCCCACAGCAGTGAAAGTTCACTGGGGAGATTTTCAATCATAAAATCATATCAAGGCTCAAATAAATCAGGGGGTTTATGTGCTTCTGAAAGCTTTCAGATGACAAACGCTTCCCAGCTGATTCTTTGGCAGCAAATGTTGAACAGTGAAATGTTTAGTGACACTGAAGTGAGGTTTTATTTCCCAATTCCCTTTTCGCCTTCACAGAGGTACAATAGACAATGTACCTCATATGTCAGCTTTGGTCTTGTTTCCTCATTCACAGGAGAGCATCCTCAATTGTCCAAAAGTGAGGGAGACCTTCAGTGTGTTTTATTCGATTGAAAAGATCTGCAGGTTAAATATTCTTATACCCATATGGAGTGATCAGGATCAGTTTTTCCTTCTGCAGGAAGGCTGATGAATAATGGTGAAGATGTTGAATACACAGATGATGAGATGATGGCAGCGATCAGCCCTATAGTGTCTGGGTGAGGATGATGATGAGGATAATGAGAAGAACCACGGCACAGACCACAGCAATAATGATGATCTTCTACAGAGAGGGAGAAACATACACAGAAACAGCGTTGATGATGGGATACCTACAACTGAAAAGCACCCACAAACTTAACACCAGCAGGAACTAATTCGCCACTACAGTAACCAGAGGCAAGAGGCCCAGAACAGGCGAACAACAACACACCCAAAGTACTTCAAACAAGCACACACACCTCGAGTAAGCCCTCTGGATAGTAAGAAAACACACACTGAGCCTCAAAGGAAGCGCAAACTCCTTCCCAAAGCATGCCTAACAGACACACACCCATTATACAGCAGGTATTTGCTCAATTACTCACCCTTAGCGCTTCTCTTACTCAAATAATTCATCATCATTTCTTTAATCCCACTGACAATCCGATTGCCAGAGCCACTATGATCACCAAGATCACCACAATCACAATTATTATCACCAGTTTCTGTTGGGGACAATTAGGACATAAATTATCAGATCCAATGTCAGTGTAAAAACAGCAGGACAGCAGGTCTTTACTTGACAACAGCAGATGTATCAGATAACATCGATTACTCTTGAGGCTTATTTACCACAAAAACTCTGCACATTAGTATTGCACAAGACTGAAACAGGGTCAGGGTTGATTGTTGTTGTCCTGAAAATACAACAGTTTGCCTTTGCACACACACACACACACACACACACACATAATCTGTAACAGCCAGAAGCAAGCACACAACATCTCCAACCCTACAACACAGCAGCGGTTGTGGTTACAGCCTTCATGTGTAAACTGCACATCAACACAGTGAGGATGAAGCTGAAGAGAAAGGACAGAAAGAAAAGAAGCTGTGTGTGTGTGTGTGTGTGTGTGTGTGTGTTGGTGGGAGGGAGGGAGGGAGGATGCTTTTTATTCTGCTACGTGTTGCTGGGCAGGTCACAGTGGTGTTTAAAGCACAGGGTTCCACAGGCTGGTAACGGAGCAGGTAGAGGGGATCGGAGAGCACAAGTCACCACAGGGGGAGGTGGGAATGGTCTTCAAACAGGTTTCCCAAAAGCATCCTCTAGTGGAAGAGGAATTCCAACTATTCCCAACCTGAAAATAAAAAACAACCATGAGCAGGAGTTGCCTTCAGGACTCCTGCTTGACGATTGTCGGGTTGAGGACTGTGTGCAGGCCTCTCTAGGATCTGGATCCTTCTGAGGACAGGAAATGACACCGCACAAGAGCTTGTGACAGGTTGTTTGTTTTTAACCATCCCACACACTGATGGTATGCAATCCAATGGTAGTTAACAGAGCTGTATCATCTCCACACTAGTTAATGTTATCAGTGTGTATAAATCTAAATTAGGGGAGTTAATGTTACAGATCTTTTAAGGGCACCTGCCAGGCTGAACAGGGTAAAGTGAAAGTCTAAACATGAAAAGGAAGGTTAACCAGTAGAGACTGGGAGACATCTTTACTTTGTTTTGGTTTCATTATTGCTTGAACAGCTTATTGTGGACTGTGATTACCTCTGGCACGAAATTCAGAAAAAAACCCAATAACTGCATTTAATGAGTCACTAACATGTAAATGTTGAAGGTCAAGCTTCTGTTTGAAATCAAGTCTCAGAGGTCAAAGTACCTCTGAGACTTACCTTAGCTTTTAAGAGAACAATTTTCAAAAGCCAAAAGTCGATTATTTTGTGAACAGAGTTAGCACTTTTCACTGATGATGACTTAGACTTCAAAAGTTAAGATAATTCTTTCTTGACAATATTTTTTTTGTTTAGCCTGAAGGACTTTTTACAGGGTTTACTACCCTGTACAACCTGCATTACACCTGCATGACGGTGCAGTTCTACTCAACATGAGAGAGAAGAAAGCAGACTACATTTCCATATGCCGAACATATTCTAATTCACAATCAGTCAGGCTGGAGAAGGCAGTTTTTTTTGTCCCATGGTGTCAAAGTTATTCTGTTTAATTGTAATTTTTAATCTTTGTCCTGCTTGTTCAGAACTAACTAGATTTGTAAATGCAAAGTTATTAAATAAATAATTCCAGTGCTTTTGGGAAACCTGACCATTGTTTTCGATGATTATCACTCACACGGCGAGCCTCTTGCTGAAACTTTGCAGCTTTTTTAGTGTCTGCAACAGCACGCTCCACAAAGCCCACCGACTGGTCCATGTTGCTCTCGATCCTGTCAATCATTCCACCCTGATGTAAACGGCATCAGAGGTAAAGAAACGTAGCAGTGAAATTAAACAGAAAGAGAGAGAAAAAGACAAGCACCAGCAATGCAACAGTTGTTGCGAATGGCAACGTGTGCGAGTACTGGGTGAGGGAGGGTGAGAGAGACATGGTGAAGGGAGGATATGTAGGCACACTATGTGGTTTAAGTGTGGCAAACAGTGAGGAGTGCAACAGTGTACAGAAGATAAGCAGGAAAAAAAAGACAAAAGCGGCTTGGTGCTATGACTGGAAAGAAAGAAAAAAGAAAGACATTACCTTGCGTGCTTTGGTCTGATACCTTACAGCTTTTTTGGTCTGCTCCTTTGCTGCTACTATGTGGTCCACTGACTTGGATATATTCTGCTCTATGTTTTCTACCATGTCACCCTGAAAAACATGCAACATTCTGTAAGGTACTGACACTTAAGCAGAAATGAGAAGCAGATTGGGTTAAATACAGAGGAATAAATCCGGTTAGAGGGGTATTACATGTTCACTGAACAGTTAGATTGCCAACACCTGCACTGAGGATCTCAGGGGTTTGTTTTGAATTCTGACATTTAATTTTAACTTGAATCACTTTTTATAGCCTCATATAGAGATCTATAAAGAGAGATCCAGGACATCAGCCTTGGTGGAGAATTAGCTCTGCAAGCACCCTTCTAGTTCTCTTCTGTAATTCAAACTTTCAAATGTAAAACTGGAATTAAAACTGGCAGGAAAAAAAAAATATCCAAAACAATCTCACAGCACAACATGAAACATGTGCATAACAACAACCCTTACCTTACAAAGCCTTTTCCTCAGACAGCATTTTGCAAGCAACAAGAAATATGTGGTTATATTTAGTTAAGAGGCTAACAGTAATGTCCCTGTACCAGCTAGTTAGACGTTTGTTGACCTTGATGATTTATTCTATTATTATTTGTATTGGTACCGTTAACGCTGAGCGATGGGATGGAGGTGACAGTGGCAGAAGAGCGCAAAGAGTAAAGGAAAGACATACAGCTGGAAAAGAGTAAACAGAGTAATGATGTGCAAAGAGTTGGATACAATGAGGGCTGAACACAAAGCCATGGAGAGGATTTAAGGATGAATTCAATGAATGAACAAGCAAATAACTAGAATCAAATGACAGGCAGGTGGATGCAGAGGACCGTACCTGGCTCTCGACCAGCATGGCGATGTCTACAAACATATCGTGCAGCTCCTTAATACTACTCTCCAGACGGACGATGTCTTTGTGTCTGGCTTCAATCTCATTCAGGGCTTGTTTGGAGATCCCCGAGTCTATAATCTGCGCAAAGGAGAGGCTTAACATTACCGAACAGCATCAGTTTAAACACAGGTGGCTAAATGAATATTTGGCATTGATTCAAATCAATGTGTATTCACTTAAAACGGCACCAAGCTAGAAAACAGTTGTTGTGATACAGCCTAAAAATCTAAAATCTATTCAAGGACACCACTACACAACAGTCCCGTCCTGCCCAGCAGTTGGATTCCTTAACAGTTAAGTGAGGTCAAAGTCTAGCCTGTTTGTTACAGGAATGTGAGACACCGTATCTGAAAATATCAAGTCAAGCTGTGCGTCCTTGTGCAAGAAATTCCTCCCTACTTGTGTATTTTTTATCAACGTGAGCTCAGAGAATCTTGGCTACATTTTCAAGTTTTTCCAGCTGCTGCGTGTAGCCAAAGCAACACAACACAATGCTCCTTATCTCAGTGTGTCATGAGCAGACTGAGTGCGAGTCAGGTCGACTCCTAAGCGCCAATAATTAGCTGACACAAGCAGTTTAAGTTTTACTGAGAAACTGACAACTCGGCTTTCACAGTTCAACCACATCATGGTGGAGTTAACGTTAAGGTACGTTAAGGAAAATGCATATACGTGCACAAACGCACACTCTTACCCCTGCAGTGAACACAGAAGCATTACCACCCTCCAACATCTCCTCTAGTTCTTCATCCGTAGTTGCTTTTCCAGCTGGAGAGGAAAGGGAAAAAGGAAAAGGAGCGGGATTAATGACAAAGGCGACAATGGAACCGTCAAATGTCTTTGTTGGCGTCGTTGTGACTCACTGATCTCGAGCTGTCTCTGAATACGTCCTTTACTCCTCTCCCGGAAATCCACCTGAGCTTCATTATACTTTGTCATCACCTCCACAAACTTCCTAGACAGCACTGCATGCTGGGAGGTAACAGAATAACAATGGAAGAGCTTATAAGTAACACTTTTAAATGATGAAAGCAGAAACCTGAAGACAAAGACGTGTATTTGTCCCGTCTTCCTCCCTTCACGCCTGATCAGTTGCGGCAGATGGCTGCCCCGCCCCAAACCTCGTTCTGCTGGAGGTTTCTTCCTGTTAAAAGGAAGTTTTTCCTTCCCACAATCGCCAAAGCACTTGCTCATAGGGTTTCATTTTATTGTTGGAGTTTTCTGTGTTTTCTCTGTACTGTTGTAGGGTCTTTACCTTACTATATGAAGCACCTTGAAGCAACTCTTGTTGATTGATTGAAATGGAATATTTTAGAAATGCTAAACATTTATTAAAGTCTTAAAGCAGAAGTATTAACAAGCACCCTCTTCTCTTAATTCTCTCTTAACCTACTTTTACCTAAAATACAACAAATAAGACCATCAGAAAAAAATCAACCTCACATACAAAGCCCAGCATGAGGGGGAAGTTTGCAAGAAAAGCGCTTTCTCAGAAGGTTACTTGAATCGTCTGAAGGAGATGATTTACCTGTGATTTACGTATCCGCGTGTCAGCCGACACCCTCTCCTGCTCTTCTGACTCCAGATTTCTCTCAATGGCTGGGAAGAAGGCAGAGTTACTTCACTTAAACAACCTTGAACTGATTAAATATAACACCACTATTCACTTGTTTACTAATCCAATAGACATACAAGTTATTCATAATGACAGGCTGTATGTAGAAATGGGAGCGGGACTCACTCTTGAGTTTGTTCCTCGCACCGTTGGCCAACTTCTTTATGTCATTGGTGATCGCCTCCAAGTCCTCCTGTGTTTCTGTGCAGGATACAGCATAGTGCAGATTTTCAGTGCTGATGCCGTTCCTGATCAATGTTGTGTTATTTTGTAACGCAAAAAAAATGAAGTAAATGTCAGAGCTGGTGGTGATTTCTTACTCTGATCTGATGTGGGAGCAGACAAGATGACAGAGTAAAGCTTTTTCACTTCTGTCACATTCTCATCGATTTTCTCAATGTTGTTTCTGATTACCTCGATCTGTAACACAAGGACACACCGCAAATGGCAAACACATGCAAATCACACCATCTTAGAACACGCAGGTCCTCGTGAATGCAAGTGAAGCAAAACAATCACACTCAGTGCATACATACACCCATAGCAGCACTTACCTCAGAAAAGAACTCATCCATGAAGCCTGCGTTGTCCACAGCAATCTCCACATCATCATCATCTTGATCACACACCTATAAGAATAAACAGAAAGAGCAGGACTAAGAGCGTGAGGTGGTAGGCCCGCAGGCCCTATGTTTCTCAATAGCTTTTCATTCTTCATGTAGAACAAGCCCATCCAAAATTTTTCCTTGTCAACCTGTTGTCTTTAGGTTAAGAGCCGACTAGTTGCTGCACAATTATGGTATTAATGATTTAATCCATATTTTGGGGCATCGCCAGAAAGAAAACCATTAAAGGTCCATGCAAAACCCCCTAAAATTAATTTTAAAATCCAAAACCAGCCATTTGTTTAGGACATCAGTAAAATGTTAACTATTCAAAATGCCTTACAACAACCTGCAAGAAGACAAAAGGGCTGAAACTGAGTTTATACAACTTTAATCAGAGGACTTCCTGTTTGGTGATTGTGGGCAGCATTGTCCTGCTTTCATGTTTCATGCAAAAAAACAATTTTGACCTAATTTCAGTATGGAGAGGTAGTTTAGTGCATTTTCAGCACATTATTATTAGTTACATAAATCAACAGGATAAAAGACAAAATAAATCTCTTAGCTTGTGTGTGCATGTGAAGCATGTGTCCTGAAGTAGTGACATTGGTTGAAAATGTGAGGTAGTAAGTCCTGCAGTCCACTACAAGGTACACTAAAAGTTTTGTTTTACAAGGGGTAAAAATACTGTACATTTCTGAAATCCCACCAAATCAAAGTTAAGACTCTCAACTTGAACAAACAATTTAAGCTCAAACACCAGAATCTTAATATTAGCAAAAAAGTATAATTTAACCTCCCTCAAAGCCATAAAATGTGGAAGCTGCAGTTTCTGTCATTTTGAAAAGAAAGTCCATGTGCTCTGTTAACCCAGCCGCCACACATGTAACATCAATGGAAAGCCCGGATTTCCTCTAGACTCCATAAATTGTGCTTGACATAGAGGTCTCAGACTCATGTCAACGACAGAGGACAAAAATGAACTGCTGGGTCTTGCAGAAAAATAACCTCGATATCGGTGCCTCCAACACTGTCAAACAGCACCACAGACTAGCTTGCAGATTTCCCAATCCAGATCTGGGAGGATCACATCCAGAGGATGCCCAGTAGTTGTCTGGAGTGCAAACAGGCATGTGGAGGTCATCCATGCAACTGAGCTATTTTATAACAGTTGGATCATCCTGTAGCTCTAACCCATCTAAGACTTTTCTCATGTATTACATATTACTTAAGCAATAAAGTATGTTTGCCATGATATTTGCAATTAGATAGATAAAAAGAATACATAAATAAATAATGACATAACAAACCAGCCATGGTTCAAAACCAATCTTCCATCCACTGTCTTAACTACTGATCCAGCATCCCCCTGGGGGCTCCAAACCTCTGTTTAAATAATTCAAAGCTACGTCCGAGTCCATTAAACTCTGCACTTGTTATTTTTTGTATCTCTAAAACCTTACAATAACAGCATTTAAATTAAACCTTTAACACCGGTGCAAACTTAAAAAAAAAAAAAAAAAAAAAAAAAAAAATTAGGTCAGCAGTGGAGGCTCCAGGAAGTTCCTGTTCCCAGCCAGAAGTTAAGTCTGGTATTCACCTATAAAAACCACACCCTGAAACTTCAACACTTTGGTCCTCGCATGGATTATAATGTGGTTAGTTGTGAGCTTTAGAGGTGCTGCTAGGGGAAGTATTTCCCATCTCAACGTCAAGCTAAACAAACTGGCTGGAGTCTGGTGAGAAGAAGGATATCTCTATCTGTAGGGTAAATACGAAACCTCAAACAGCATTAAAGGAAGTGTATTCAAATCACACTGCTAGACGATATATTGAATTTATAAAAATAAAATAAGCAGCTGTGCTTTCTTTAAACAAAGTAGAGTCAAAACAAAACAATTAGCTTAATTTAAGTTACAACTTTACACATTTATTTTAGAGAGATTTTCTGTTTAATTTCTTTTTTCTGAAGTTTTTCTGTTTGGGTTGGAAAAGCCACCGAACACAGTTTAGACCGTGAGTCTTCATGCAAAGCTATACTAATGAAATTGCTTCCTGGTTAGCAGCTCAGCCTGACCCTAATCAGTTTACATCCAGCATTTCATCAGAATGCTTCACGCTGCTGACTATACGTGTCACAAGTGACGGGCAGTAAACACAAGTCAGCACTGATGGTTTGCTACGCACGCACCAAGCACTGGCAGTGAATATTTAACATCTAGGACCAGAGGCAGGCTCCAAGACGTCAACCCAATTTTCACTCTAAGCTGACTTTAACAAAACTGAGGCAGAGTGAACGGACATCACGGCCACGCCGTGACTGCGTTTGATAAAGCGAGAAAAGAAAAAGCAGCCCTATTTGCTTCCTCCCTTCTAATTACTTCTGCTTTTAAGTTAAATATATTCTGATCAGACACCCGATGAGCTGTTCCAGGCATTTGTCCAGAGTTTGTGCTTTGTAACAGGTGACTCTGTGTGACCTGCAGAGGTCCACAAATTTGGAATAAGCTTCAAAGCACTGATTTAGGTTAGTATAATAATGTATGTTGGAAATTAAAGATGTATTTGCTGTATATTATCTGAGGTTTGGGCGTTGTATGTTATGGAGAGGCCCATTTCACAAATAACAGTCTTATATATTATCATTTCAGAATTTGTATTTTAATAAATTTGTGAAACCTTTGGCTCTTCAGGTGTGCACCCAGGTCAAAGTCGAGGCTTGGAAAATGTTAAGACGTCATCGGTTTAATGCCTCTGATCTCATATTAGCTGACTCACACACAGTATTTACAATAGTAAGCTCAATAAATATTACGGTTCATTCACACTGCACCTGTCCTGTGCACCTGTTGTGCTTCTTTTCACTGTCATATTCAAACAGTAAGCATTTTCTTTTGCGGTCCTCAGTTTCTGGACAGTTTCAACATTTCCTGACATTTTACAGACAAAAATGATTAACTGAGAGAATAATCAGCAGATTCATCAGTATTGAAAGTAATCATTAACCCTTCTAGGCAGTAACATTTACTGCAACTGCACGAATGCTGACTTTTAGACTTGGCCTTTAACCTTCCAGCCTTCATCGAAAATTTGAATTGCAAATGTAGCCGAGACCATTTGCTTCAGGCTGGCGTACCTACAGCAGTAGTTGAACCGAGAGTTTCCAGGACATAGTGCTTGCTTTTGAATCTCTCAGAGAGTTATTCATCAAACGCACCACTCAGGCTCACGCACACTCTCACACTGCATTTCTGCTCTTGTGAGATAAGACCAAGCACTCACTTCCTTCCAGTGTCTCTCATTCAGCAAAAACAAGAGGAAAGGGAGTGATGTGTGCACCAAACCAAACAACCAAAGACCACAAAGACACACACACACACAGCTTGTAAAAACATCGTGATAATGACAGGAACAGTCAGAGGCAGTGACCTTATCCAAGTCATCAAGAAAACTTTAACAGCATTACTCAATAAACTCACTTGCTCATCTTAACACTTTACTTCACTTCAGAAGACACAAAGAAATTCTTGGATCAAACTACTACGAACCATTTCAGCTTAAAGTTTGGGAGATGGTCAACTCTTCATGATTGGTTTGCGAGATGTCAAATATTTGGGAGGCATGTTTAGACAGGTGAACAAGGTTTATGTAACAATATCTAACACGAGCTTTAAATGGTGCTGCGAGCCAAAATCCAGCCCGACTGTTGGTGAATTAGATTTGCTCGCTTAGAAATAAAAAATAGAATAACAAAAACAAAAAGCATGACAGCTATAATCTCATGCAGAAGATTGCATTTAAGATTTTGATGGCTGCACAGTGGGTAAAATTAGGTCAAGTGGACATCACGATTAGAAAACATCAAACACGCAGCACAGAATAGTGATAGTAGAGTTGAAACTATGTGGGCACCAGTAGAGCTACAGGACAAGATCGACCAACCAGAAAAAAGAAACAAATACAAAAACAGCAGAGGTTTTGATGATCAATAAAAAGTTAACAGCCAAGCAAAAAGAAGAAAACCACTTTGGAAAGTCATTTGTAAGGATTTGTTGTTTCTTCAGGCTAATGTGAAGTTCAGTTTTTGGACAATTTGTCGATAAATAATGCAGAAAATAATCAGATAAAATCCATAATAACAAGAAATGTTAGTTACTGCTGTCTGAGCAACAGCATTTTCTGTGGGATGGTTTAAAAATGAGCTGCTACCTTTAAAAGCAGTAGCACAGGGACCTGGGGTCAGATTTACAGCAGCGTGGTGACAGAAGCCTATTTAGTCCATCAGCAGTTGTGTTGATGCAAAGCATCTGACAAGGGATTTAAAAACTCCATATGGCAATGAAGACGGCATGTTTACGCTGTTACATTTTTACCACTGGGTGTAAAGTGCTTTCAGTGACTGATAAGACTAATAAAGTGCTACGTAACTGCACTCCATTTACGATTTGTGCCGGTCAGGCTAGGAAGCAGAGCAGCACCAGAACCCCAGCTCGTCACTGAAGACACAGAACTGAAAACCAGATGAGCTTAAATGAAAGTGCATTTGAAAATACTATGAGGGAACAGAAAGGCAGAACAACAGAAAGTAACAGTCATGTTAGTCTAGCTCACAAGTGAGGTGACCAACTTCTCCTCTCAGTATTTCTCTAAAAATAGTCAAATAAAACAAGCGTAAAGTGGAGCTTGGCCAATAAGCTGCCACATGTAACAGTACAATAACTTCAGCAAATTACGATTCTACACTTCATACGGTTTATAAAAGTGCCAAGGTCTTCAGTACGTCAGGTGATGTGATAATGATGCCAGTGGCGTAAGCAAACATTGACATGAACGCATACACACACACAGCCTAGATTACTGTCGGCAAGTTAAACATTAGAAAGGAAACTCAAGGAGGGAAATGAAGACAGGGGGATAAGGTGGGAAGATAAAGAAACACAGGAGTAAAGGCAGGTCGAGGTAGTCGGAAAAGACGCAAGTATTACTGGAGAAAAATTAAAAATGTCACACGGCCTGCTTATAAACACATGTCTGACCTAGTTCTGCTTACATCTGTACTTCCTTTAATGTAAAGCCAACTGTGTTGTGATAAAGATATCTGGGAGTGGGGGCAAGTGAGGAATACCACTGCTCAAACAATTTTAAAACACAGCAAATATTTGACCAGCAGTTTTAGGTAGCTATAGCAACACAACATCCCTCAACACACGCCATCATGAGTTACTGTACAACAGCAGCAGCATAACCCAATTCAGAAAAGAAGAGGCCAGTGATATGAAAATGTGGGAGATTCGCGCTGTACTGCACCATTATTGATATAGACCCACTGGCCACTTTGCTAGAACCCCATTCCTTCAGAACTGCCTTGATTTTTCATGGCATGCCAGAAACCTTCTTTTCAGTCCATCCTGACAGGATTGTATCACAATGTTGCTGCACATTTGTTGGCAGCATGTCCATGATGTGAATCTCTCGTTTCACCGCATCCCAAAGGTACTCTACTGAAGTAAGATCTAGTTGACACGGTCAACACAATACTCAGGTAAACAACGCTCCGTTGATATTAAGGAACTCAAAGTGTGTAAAGACAACACCCCCCACACCACTAAACCACTACCAGCAACCTTAACTGTTGAGACATGCAGGAAGATCCATGCTTTCATGTTGTTAACGGCAATTTCTGACCCAACTACCTGAATGTTGCAGCAGAAATCAAGACTGTTCAGATAATGAAACGTTTTCCAGTCCTCTATTGTCCAATTTTGGTGAGCCTGTGTGAACTATAACCTCAGTTTTCTATTCTTAGCTGACACGATTGACATCCAGGGTGGCTGTAGCTCAGGAGGCAGAGCAGGTCATCTGCTGATCGGAAGGTTGGTGGTTTGATCCTTGGCTCCCCCAGTCTGCATGCCGAATATCATTGAGCAAGATACTAACCACAAGTTGCTCTCCAGGGCATCCATTGGAGTATGAGTGTTGAGTATGTGTGCAGTTAGAAAGCACTTATAAGCATAGGAAAAAAGAAAAGTTGCATGTTGTATAAAGCACTATATAGGAGTCCATTTACCATTACCATTTACATCCGGTGTGGTCTTCTGCTGCTTTAGCCCATCTGTAATAAGTGGTCATTTGAGTTACTGCTGCCTTTCCATCAGCTAAAATCAGTCTGGCCATTCTCCTCTGACCTCTGACACCAACAAGTGATTTTCGCCCAGAGAACAGCCGCTTACTGGATACATTCTCTTTTTCAGACCATTGTCTGCAAACCCTAGAGGTGGTGTTGGGGGGAAAAAAATCCCAGTAGATCATTTCTGAAATACTCAGACCATCTCATCTGACACCAACAACTACACCACACTCAAAGTCCCTTAAAAAAAAATGTCACCCCTCTTCTCCATTCTTCACCACCACCTGCCAACACGGCTAAATGCACTCAGTTGCTGTCATGTAATTGAGTATAGGTCAAATGTCTGATTATCTTAATTTCTAAATAAATAGTTAAACAAATTATCAAGGTGCTGGGACCAGATCCTTCATTCTTCAAGAGCTATAATAAAGTCCTCCCTTTTATCGAGCAACAGTTAATCAATACCAATGAAAACAGAGTGACTCACCTAAGTTATTTTTAGCCACGATACACCGGGATATATAAATTAAGCTCAATTTCACTGGAATTACTTGGGTAAATATGACCTGTTGAGCTGCAGTTCAGTTAATAAGAATTAACCTCTACTTCAAACCTTATACTCAGAAGTGAATGCACAAAACACGTCTTTCATCCAGCACTTCCATTCCCAATCATTATCCAAGCTGTAATGTCACTACAGCCATCACATGAGTTACATCATCATATATCTCACTATTGTTGTTTGTTTGTTTTTTTTATATATGCTATATATTTATGGTAAAGGTTTAAATCAAAGAGTGTAAAATTTTCATTTTACAAATCCTAACCTCAAACATCTTAAAATGGTCGTTTTTCTTTTTCGGAGTGTACAGAGTCAATATTGATGAGTAAAAGGAGACACTTTCAGAAAACTCAACGTTTCCTAAACACTACCTACCGCTTTAAGCTGCTCCAATCGGTCCTTCATTTTTAGGCGGTTAGCTTCACAGTATTAAAATAAAGAAATAAACACAATATTGTGCAAAAAGGGTTTAAAAAAAAAAAAACTAGTCCCAATCTCTCAAGTTCTCAGCCAGCTGCCAAGCTAGCTGTGCAACACAGACCCACCGCCAGTGAGGCAGAAAATTAAACTCCCCAAAAGTCTTGACAGATGTCCTGAGAAAACGACTTTTTTCTGAAAACAGGAGTCTTTCCGTCGCTTTTCCATACAATATGGCTGCTGGGTTTGAAGCCAGTGTTTTTTTCTTGCTAAATCTCCTCGCTCAGGGGATTAAAACAACAGTTGTGTGGAGCCGTATAATCTGTTTCTCCGCTGGCTACCAGTAATCATTCTAAAACGCACTTTTATGGCTAACGCATGCGCAGACAAGTCCCCCGATCGCGGTGATGAAGCCACGCCCTGAGCCACCTGCACTCGTGATGCATTCGGGTATTGTAGGAATAATAATCTAACTAACCTGCGGATTTGTTGGAAACTCTTTTAAAAATATATAATAAGGAATCAAATGTGATTATTTTTGTCTTATGAGGGAATTTAGAGAAAGATATGGAGTCACAGAAGATAAACATCCGCAGAGTCTCACAACAGCTAAACAACATGCTGTTAAATATCAAGTTGCCTGGTTGAACCAGTATAAAGGTATGAAGGTAATAACGGAAGTCATAGTATGTTAGTATGCCCAGAAACATACTAAGGCAACAACTCTAACATACCAATTTCCACTATACTTTGGGGCTTTCTGTGATATTATTGGTTAATTAGCATGATGTCATTAGTTTCACTGGTATGTAGTAATAAGTAAAAGTCCATCCCTCTTCTTCCACTTATCCAATCCAGAGCAGTGGGAGGGCCGGACTCCTTGTACACCTTGGAGAGGCTGCCAATCTACTGCAGAAGTAATGCAGAGAGACAGACAACAGCAAGTTTTAGGATCACCAGTTAACCTAGAGTACCTAGACAGAACATGCAACTCCAGACAGAAAGGCCCCAGACTGGGTTTGAACCATGATCTTTGTTCTGTGAGACAAAGGGTTTGTTTTTCTACTGCTGGAGGAAATAAAGTCAAATGATCAGCAACGAGATCATCGATCCAGAGGGAAACATGAATACCTGACACAAATGTCATTGCACAAGTTGTTCTAATGTTGTGCCACAAATGTGAAGACCACTGTATTGCTGAAGTCACTGGCAATGTTTTACAATAAGTGATCATAACTTCACCGTCTTTCTACCATGAATGTCTGAACCAAAAGTCATCACAATTAATCTATAGTTTAAGAGAGTTTCAGTCAAGAGCAAAGTACTCAACTTAAATTAAAACCAATTAGAACGTGTTTACATCTATTAATCAGGTCTATCTTTGCTGTGTCTTTTCTTTTTTATTTCAGCACATGGATCATATTGCCATGCCAGTATGTTTACACCTCAAGGTCATAGTTCAAAGAGTTATGAGAGTTAATGAGTTTTGAAGAGGAAAACAGCATGACTGATATGGTGGCCTGCAGCATTACTGGAGAATTCACCACCTTACTCTTTACAGCAAAGTCTTTACTGATGCCCTCTATTCATTTGCGTTTTGGGATGTTTTGCCTTAACCATCGAGGGCACTATAAATAAAACATCACTTTTTATCCCCCCTTAGAAAGCCTTGGAGAGAGCTGAAGACAATTTAATTTTAAAGTAAGCTCATGTTAAAGCAAGTGATCAAGCATACTTATTTATGTATTTATTTTTAATTGTGGTGTTTGATACTCCCAGTTGCACAAGTGACCCAGGACAGTAAAATATAAATTATAAACTAAATCATAAACACTGTTTATCCCATCGAATGTAGAAAAAACTCCCATGGTTGTTTACAGGCTTTTATTATTAAGGGGGACTCATAATATGATCTCTCAGGTAAATTATCTTATTTAGACCATACATTTTATTGGTTGGTTCACTTTACTGTGAAATATAATATTCCCTATTGGAAATGACAAATCTCGCGGTTTTAACGTAAAGTAAATGTAGCACTAAGGGTTGACGGCATTACAGCAGCGTTATTGGGGTGGTGTGTGTGTGTGTGTGTGTGTGTGTGTGTGTGTGTGTGTGTGTGTGTGTGTGTGTGTGTGTGTGTGTGTGTGTGTGTGTGTGTGTGTGTTAATAAAAATCAATCAGATCATGGTTACGGAGGTTTTAAGTCAGCCAACCAGGGGAAAGGAGCAAACATATATCTTCCTAAGCTCAGGCATCTCTATCCTGTTATAATGACTGCATATTTTTAGTGCAATACGTGTACTCGTATTTTCACATGTGCAGTGTGTTCAGCAGCCAGCAGCAGTAAACATGAATGTAGGCCTAATGTTACAGCTGGGTGTCAGGGATCAAAATCACACTCTCCTCTCTCCCACCGTCACCTAACGCATCGTGATCATTTCCTTCCAGCTAAGCCGATAAAGAAGAGTTTTATTACAGCTTGTAACCAACTGTTGAGAACTGGATATAGATGTCTATTTCCTCATTTTGCGGTTTTCTTCTTCACTACGCTTTCAACACACAACGACTAAATTGTGAAACGTAAAGTGGGACCCGAGTCTGAATCAGAACATATGGCGCTGCGTGGAGGGTGAATGATGTTGCACCCAGATCCGTGTAGTAACCGGCACACGTCACAGTGAAGGTGCATCAGAAATCTATTACATAACCCTACAGGGCGCGTTCATTGTGCTCTCAATTTAAAAAGCAAGGGGGAAAGGGAAAAGCACGAGTGACACCTAGTGGTCACGAGCTTAAGATGAAACCCTCCATCACTGGCATCATCTTGTGTGAGTTTTCATAAAAGCACACGTGCGTCCAGTGAAGGATCTGGGACTCAGGTAGCTACTTTATGACTTTAAATGGTAACAATGCGTTCAGTCTCCTTCCACTCACACATTTCTTTTGGCTACTCCACTGAGCCTCACTGTGCAGAGGCAGAGTGATGTTATAAGATTCATTTTTTGTTCTGCTGTCTCTGAACTCACCTTGTGAGTTGAAGACATGTCCCATCAAGCATGGCTGGTAGCATTAAAATGAGCTCCAGTGCCAATCGTAGCAAATTATAGGAGGCTGCGATGTGGAAACCTGAAGACTGCGCTGCACAAACATGCTCAGTAGTGCAACTTGGAAAAATTAAGGTTTAGCGTTTTGTTCAAATAGATATGAGCATGTCAGCGGAAGAAGCCACAGGCTACGACATGTGCCTTGTAGTCATTACATTTTGAAATTGTGTATTCATGTTATTCGTCTTTATTCTGCAGATAAGGAGGATTGGCAGAGACCTTTTTCTGGAACTTATGCATGAATAATTTAATAATCTATAGCACTTTTTTAAGTGCTTCAGTTTCAGTAAAATGACAATTTAAAGTGTACATACTCTGTTAAGCATACACTCTTACATTTAGAGCTCCAATGAGAAAGCCCCTGCTGACCAAAAGAGCACAAAGTGCTGTCTCAGATTTGTCAAAGACATCTTGACGATCCTCAAGACTTTATGGAAAATATTCTGTGGACCGATGAGACAAAAGCTGAACTTTTTGCATCTTATTACATCTGCTGTAAAACTAACACAGCATTTCATAAAATCACATCAAGAGTAAAAATGGTGGTGGTAGTTTGATGGTCTGTGGCTGCTTTGCTGCTTCAGCACCTGGATGACTTGCCGTAACTGATGGAACCATGAATTCTGCTTCCTATCAAAAAATCCTGAAAGAAAATGTTCGGCCATCAGTTTATGCTCTGAAGCTCAAGTGCACTTGATTTAAGCAGCAGAAACAGACCAAGTCCACCTCAGAATGGCTTAAAAAAACAAGTAGATGATTATGGTGCGGCTGAAGCAAACTCTGGATTTAAAACTCACTGAGATGCTTTGGCGTGACTTTAAACAGGCCTTTCAGGCTTTAAAACACTCCAGTGTGGCTGAAATAAAACCATTGTGCAAAGAGTGGACCATAACTCCTCCACAGCGATGTGAAAGCCTCATTATCAGTTATCACAAACACTTGATTGCAGTTCTTGCTCCTGAGATTGGCACAACCAGTTATTAGGTTTAGGGGTGCTGCTTTTTCACACAGGATCCTGTGTGATTGGATAACATTTTCTCTGAAATGAAATCAACGATTAAAAGCTGCATTTTGTATTTACATGGGCTATCTTTGTCTAATACTAAAGTTTGTTAGATAATCTGAAACATGTGTGACATATATGCTAAAATACTAAGAAACTGGGAAGGGCAAATACTTTTTCACAGCACTGTTGAACATACTTCCATGCAAACATGGTGTAAACTAGGGCAAAAATAAGGAACAAATTATTGAGAAGCTTATCTATAAGAGTACTGATTCAGAAATCTACTCTTGATTTCTTTGACCTGCTCTTTTTCCAGGTTGGGATGATTTCACATCATCTGTTCAAAAGGCAACTTGCTAAGGAACATTTAACCAAAATATTAATGGCAATATATGTGTATGCATTTCACCCTGTATGGATTGCAGTAAATTCAAAATAAATTCTCACTCATGCACCCAATTCTTGTTTTGTTAAGTCATTAAAGATGTATGCTGTACATTCACTCTATCCCAAAAAAAAAGGACTGGTCAAAGAAGTCATTAAAACCCCAAATTGCCATGACATTCATGCCCATGCCTTAGATCTTTTTGGCTATATCAAACTTTATAATCAGTTATATTTTAAAGTGAAATCTGAAGCCAATGAAACACAGTCAATAGCCAGCTTTTGCATTCTTAAACTCAAAATTCATCTAACTGGAAACAATGTTATCTGACACAAATATTTAAAGTATTTGGTGCCTTTCAAAGCTTTGAAGGAGCAGTTTTTTCCCCCCATAATGCCCTACAGTCTGCATGCTTTTTCAATTTAATGGCACACTCTTAAGATTAAATGGTTTGTATATCTCCTTTAGCTTTACCTGAAAGCAAAGCATTCATTATTACCACACTTTGTAAAGGCTCACCAAGACACAGGCTATCATTGTCTACTTCAGGTTTCCATGTATCCACTTGATTCCAACAGTAGTAATTAGTAAGTTTGGACAAATGTCAGTATAGCATTATCTAGTTGTATTTGACCTACTGTGGGCAATGTTGCAGACAAAGCTATGGCATGAGACTTATTCCATATGAAACATTTACTGGTGACTGCAGGAGAGCACAAACGTAAATGCTGAATTCTATTAGTTTCTTGTAGCCATCTGAGTTTCAGGAACCTGTATTGTGCATCAAATAATCCTCACCAAGATGCTTGAATATGCTAAAGCCACTTTTTAACTACGAGGCGCTCCCTGTGACCTGAAATCGTTGGCGTGCAGGCAAATCACAACAAACACGGCCGTGTTATACCGAGAATGTTTTTATTCAAAGTTTACTCCCCTTAGTGCTTCCAGTACACCGTACAACAGCATTATGTGAGCTGGGTAAGTGCAATGGAGGGTGCTCAACGATGAAGAGTAGCACGTTGCCATGCCAACAACAACACTAGGGTGGGTGTGTGTCATACAGTGAAATTAGAACCACAACTTTTCCACCAAGTTTTTTTCTTTTTTTACTTAAGTTTTAAAACAAAAAAAATTCAAAAATAAAAAAATCTGAAAAGGGATTTTACAGTAAGGGGGCAAAACTCCAACGACTTCCTGTCCACGGGTGGGGGAGGAGGGAGGGACAAATCTAGGTAACAGGTTAGAGGTCATCTTCTTCATCTGGGAGTGCTGTTTGTGATGCAACCTGGATATGGAAGAACAAAGTCATGTTTCAGATTGTTCCACATTTAGAAGATGCGCAAGTAAAATTTACAATATATTCATCCAAATCAGACAAATGAGTCTGTACAGTGATACTCACTTGAAGCTCTTCCTCATACTTAGCAGCAAGGGATGGGTCCATCTGGACCTCTGGGGGAGCAAGGGCAGGCATTGCCACAAACTCCAGGTTGGGATCACCGATCAACTTCCTTGCTAACCACAGGAAAGGCTTCTCAAAGTTGTAGTTACTTTTGGCAGAAATGTCGTAGTACTGCGGGTAGAACAATTTGCAGCAGTTAGAAATGACAAAACTCAAAAGTTTATTCTACAATTCAAAAATACACATTTTTGCAAGCAGTTATTACCTGCAGGTTCTTCTTGCGGTGAAACACAATGCTCTTGGCTTTGACTTTCCTGTCTTTGATGTCCACCTTGTTGCCACAAAGAACAATGGGAATGTTCTCACAGACACGGACCAGGTCACGATGCCAGTTGGGCACGTTCTTATAGGTGACTCGAGAAGTGACGTCGAACATGATGATAGCACACTGAGCTGTTGAGGAAGCAAGAAAGCATTAATGTATTGTTCAGCTAAAGCCAAGGTACATGAATTTTAAAAACGTGACACTTGAGCAGCGTGCGAAGGATGCAAGGAGCACCTTGAATGTAGTAGCCATCTCTCAGGCCTCCAAACTTCTCCTGACCAGCTGTGTCCCACACATTATACTTGATCGCTCCTCTGTTGGTGTGGAAAATCAGTGGGTGCACCTCTACTCCAAGAGTAGCTGAAATTTCAAGCAAAGACATAATGAATAAGGAGAATGAAGGTGTAAATGGTGATGAGATAAAGGCCATGCAGGACATGTTGCTCCCTGTAGTTCCATTTAACACATTTGGCATCTTACATCCTGCTTTCAAATCTATTACCACATCCAGACTAAAAGAATGAGCTGATTTCCTTCCTGGCAAGCGAGGACTTACCAACATATTTCTTCTCAAACTCTCCTGTGATATGCCTCTTCACGAAAGTCGTTTTCCCGGTGCCTCCATCTCCTACCAACACCAACTGCGATGCAGAACGTACAGTTAGTCTAGACTGGTTGGTACTGGTTCACCACACTGACCGTTGTTAGCACAGATAGCGGTGCTTCATTTAGTTAAAAGGCTGAGAAATGGAACATCAATTTATGTTAGATAGCAAGCACTTACCTTAAACACCGCCACCGGAACACACTGTGCCATTGAGTCCGCCGTGGTTGCGACTTTTCTGTTAAACAAAACGAGGCGGGATGGTTGATTAGCACGTTGTCCGTCAACACCAACTAGCAGTGCTAGCAACTACTTTAAATGGCATTTCAAGAAGATAAAATATGACATAAGCTATGATTTGTTGAGATGTTATTTTGGTCCTTTGAGCAGTTTTCTACGATTTGATCGTTTAGCTAAACTCCATAGCTTGTTACATAGCCATAACTTCTAGCATTTTCCATCCAAGCTAACGTTCACGCACACGTAACGAGTAAACGTGTAACGGTGCAGCTATGTTGTGGAAAAAGGTTTAATTCATGTTGTGTGTCCAATGTGTATTTGCGTTCAATCGAAAATTCGAAAGCGCGCGTCTAAATGCGTATTTCAATACCAACGGCTGCTAGCTAGGAAAGCTAAAAACGTTAGAGTGAGTGCGCCACACGACGGGCGAGCGCACTTTTTCTTGTTCGACTGAAACAATCCGACTGGAAGCCCATCTAATGTGTTCCACGCTACACTCCAAGTCAAACCCAGCCTAAATAATTCTCTACACATAAATGCAACTCCACGCATCCACAATATATTTTGCCAAAAATACTGAATATGTATTTACAGGAATACGCGCGAGTCCCAAGAACAAAGCAGAAAAAATGAGGGTTAGCCGTGCATGCTAACCCGTTAGCTAGCACAGCATGGAAGCCATTCTTTTCATCGAGCTAACAGCTAGTTAGCCGCATAAGAAAAACCACCGGCCTTCCCCAGCTGCCCCATTCCTCACGTGGATACAGCTACAAAATCGCAAAGTTAAAGTTGCCCATTGCTTTAAGTGACTTTTTTTCCAACCAATGCAAACTTGAAATATAGGATGGGCCCCATTGTGAGAGGAATTCAGAGACTCACTGGTAACACTTCCAAGACAGGAAAGAGTAAATGGCTGCGTTCACAGGAGATTCAGCGTGGACTATGAGTCAGTTTCCGCCCTTATCATGTGACCCTTGCAGCGGCAAAAACGCATCAAGAAGCAACACGGTCCTAACTGAACGTGATTCAGCATTCAGTCTTTATTTAAACACACTTATCCAACCCTAAAAGACATTCACATGTAGCTAGAAAAGCACAATTTCCCACTACAGACAAGCAGCTGAGGCTGGGCAGCTGGGTATGGTTACGAGCTGTTTATTTCTGAGGTAATTTGTTAAAAAAAAACAAAAAAACAAAAAAAAAAAACCCACAGGATAGCAGCAACGTCCTCGTTTCATTGAACAACTTTTGGATGCACATGCGGCAGACAAAAGAGCCCAATACCCAAAATGTTTAGTGTTAGCCAAAGCTTCGTAGGTCAGACCAAGTAATGTTGGTACACTTACCACACAAAAGTCAGTGAATGAAAAGTTATTTTCTTTCTTTGTGTACTACAAAAATAATAATCAATTTCTATAACTACCATCTGTTTACCAGAGCTGGCTTCAAAAACACAAGTGCGTTTTAATTTCGAAAACTAGAATGACATAGTTGAAAGTCAGTTGGTCAGTTTTTTATTTATTAAGCAACTCGAAAACGCAGATAATCCAGTGAACCCTGAATAACCATATTTAATTATTATTTTTTTTTTCTATTGACTAAAAATTTAAAAGTAATTTATTTGCATCACAACTGCAGCCGGCAATAGTTACACTGGAGGCTACAACCATCTAACAATAGCCTAATAAACCATTAAAAACACAGTCATTAACTCACTTAACATAAGGGATTTGGTCCAACAAGAGTCAAGTTTTGGATATAATATAAAAGACAAAAAAAACCACAAAACACATCTTCTCAGTTTCAGAGGTTTTTCCCCTTTAATTTCAATTCGGTTAGTTAAATTTGCAACAGGTCTGTCAATATCTTTAAAACAAACATTTCAAATAATATACTCTTATATTGCAAGCTTTGACGTGCTACAGCTCAACATCAAAAAAGTACAACTACACCCAAGAGGCATACAATTTGTGCGTTTTTTATAGAATTTCCTCAGTGTATGAGGCTTTACCACTCGGAACCCGCTGGCATAACTGTAAAACCGCCAGTAATCTCTTTAAATGCATATCAGGAGGACATACAGGACCTTCCCACAGTGAGTCTATCTGTACAGATAGTCTGCTTGTATGTTGGCTGCTATCTCAGCCTCCCATCGGTCTCCGTTGTTGAGTAGCTTCTCCTTGTTGTATAGCAGCTCCTCGTGGGTCTCTGTGGAGAACTCGAAGTTCGGACCCTGAAGAAGGAATTCAATTTTTTTTAAAGACATTAACTGTCTGTTTTGAAGGAGGGTTGGGTAGAATAGTGGAGTTTTTCAGTTGTAAATTTATTGTACTGAACTAGAGTAAAGACAGTGAAAGATCCCCACATTATCATTTGCTTGTTCAGCTTCATCAAACTTGGAGGACACTTGTTTTTACCTCAACAATGGCATCAACAGGACAGGCTTCCTGGCAGAAGCCGCAGTAGATGCACTTGGTCATGTCGATGTCATAGCGTGTGGTCCGCCTGCTGCCATCGGCTCGAGTCTCAGCTTCAATAGTGATAGCCTGAGATCAATAGAGAAAGGAAAGGGAAGCATCATGTTTATTGGCACAACAGTAGGAAGCATTCAAATATCAGCAACATTCATTTTACAGACATTTTGAGAACTGACTACAAACAAACAAATAAATAATACATAATCTAGATAATGTTTTAGCATAAGTGCCCAAATTGAGGTATTTCAAAACAGCTACTGAGTGAAGAGACATTACACCCCTGTTTACCTTCAGAACTGTCTCACTCTCACCCATGTTTTCTTCTGGAAAATGTGAAATATGTACAGTGATTTTTTTTTAAATATGTGCAACACCACATTGGGTAGAGAATTTTATACAATTTTAGTATGACCACATTTATTCTTCAGCACAGCCTGAACTCTCTTAGGCAGTGTTCATATCATTTCTTTAAGCAGTTGTCAGGAATAGTTCTTCAGGCGTCTTCAGAGCCATTAAGCTTTTCTTTGGATGTTGGTTGGCTTTTGTTCCGTTCTCTATCTAGATGATCCCACGCTGCTTCAATAATGTCGAGGTTCAGGCTCTGGGGAGGCCGATCCATGACTGACAGAAACGTACAGAGTGGAACACTATCTAGGTATGCTTCTACTGAATGGCAGCGTCCTGGGGATAATTACCATGCTGAAAAATGAAGCCAATCAGATCAAAATCTGATTATACTTTTCTGGGTTCATAATTACATCCATTTTGACCAGATCTCCAACACCTTTGGCTTAAAGGCAGCCCCAAACCATGACAGAGCCTTCACCGTGTGTAGACACTCACTGCTGTAGCTCTCTTCCGACCTCCTCTGCATGTCATGATGACAATTTAGACTAAATATGGAGCCATCACTCCATCAAACCTTTTGCCCCTGATTTTCAGTCCAGTTCCTGAGTAACTTGGCATACCTCAGCTTCTTTTCCTTGTTTGCATTCTTTAACACTATCCCTGCTAATGATGACATGTTCCAGCAGTCTATGTTTTCCCATCAAGCAATAGTTTAAACTTTAAGTTTTTGTTCTTTCTTTTGAGATATACATGTATTCATATAACCAAAACATCCTGAATGATTAGCAATTCATGATCCACTGGTAGCTTCAAAACAATAATCTGGTTTCAAGAATGTTTCTTGACAGACACCCTACCACTGAGCCCATTTTTGGTCAGGTTTTGGTGAACAGTAGATGGATAGAGTGTAGAGCAAGATGCATTTCTTAGGTCCTGTCTCAGATCTTTCCCGGATATAAAAAGTGTCTTATGACACAATTTAAAATGGATTCTTTGCTAAATTGTTATGTGTAAGCTGTAGGCACAGCAACGGCTCATCCTTAGGTGTTTTTTTTAGTCTTGAATGATTCATTCATGAGTGCTAAGTGGCTTAAGAAAAAAAGTATTCCTCAGAAAGTGGTTAGGTACAGGACTAGAGTGCATCGAAAATAAGGGAAAAAGCAGCCAATGTACACAGAAACAGAAAGCCATTGCTGAAGAGCTCTTTAATAAATTACAAGAAAATCCTGCTGGTCTGAAGCAAAATAGAAATCAATGAGGGCTGACTGAAGACTTTTTCATAGTACTGCAGATGCAACAAGGTGCTTAGAAGCTTAGAAGCACTTGAAACCACATGAGAGCACAAGGCAGTTCTGGTGAGATTTGGGGATTATGGAAGTTATTTGTGTCAACAATACTCGGATAGAAGGTGATGTTTAAATGAGCGGTAAATGTGTTCAAAAATATCTGCCACACTATTGCACTTGTGCCCACTCTAGCCTCAGTTTCCTGTTCTCAGCTGGAAACCTTCAGCTGCTGTGACTGGTCTGCTTCAAGGTTTCAACATGTTGTGTTTTCAGAAATGCTCTTCTTTTCTTACAGCGGTTGAAAAAGCGGTTATTCAATGTCTTTTTATCAGTCCCAGAGAACTGCCGCTGCCAAACCATCAGTTTCTAAAAACCCTCAAACCTGATCATCCATGGCTAACAGCTATGCCATGTCAAAGTGATGTCATTCATTTTTCTCGTTCCGTATAACGCTTTGTTTGTACTTCAGTACATCTTCTAGACAACCTCAACATGTCAAAAAAACCAAAACACAACTATCATAATAAAAGGGACTGTGTGTGTATGCGTTTACCTGAGCAGGGCAGATAGCCTCACAAAGCTTACAGGCAATGCAGCGCTCCTCTCCGTTAGGATAGCGGCGGAGGGCGTGCTCCCCACGAAAGCGGGGCGACAGAGGACCCTTCTCAAATGGGTAGTTGATGGTGGCAGGTTCACGGAACAGATAACTCATGGTCATTGCCAAACCTGCGTGAAGGCAAAGAATAAAATAAATAAATAAATAAATAATAATTAAAAATTTAAAAAAAACTTAAAGGGCCCACTGTCTCTGACACACATTGATTTGCAAGATTTGAGTTAGTTGAAAAGAGGTCAATTACTCACCTGTACTGAGGAATGTACTGTTTAAAGGCGTATGAAGCCTGAGTTTTTGACTCATATGAATAAGATGGATGTATACTGACCTCATTAACTTAATTTCTGGCCATGATTAATAACAGTAGATAAACAAATCAGGCACTTTATATAGATACACTTTGGTAGAACTGGGTTGGAGCCCCTTCTGCCATCAGAATTGCTGTAATTCTATTCACATAGATTCAACAAGGTGCTGGAGCCTTTCCTCTCAGATTTTGGTCCATATAGACATGATAGCATCACACAGTTGCTGCAGGTTTGTCAGCTGCACATTCACATTGTGAATCTCCTGATGGATCACATCCCAAATTTGCTGTTAAACTGACATCTCGTGACTGTGGAGGTCATTTAGGTGGTGGTTTAGTGAACATTGTTGCAGTCAAGAAACCAGTTTGAGATGATTTGAGCTTTGTGACATGGAGCATTACAGGCTACAAATCTAGGCTATCAGCACAGAAAACACAATCAACGGGACCTCTGAAGAGCTCGGTCCAAAGCAGGGTTGTGGCAGCCCGGTCAGTGATGGATCTCATGTCTGTTGGCAGCTCCTGAGCATTTACATACTCTGACAGAAGAATAAAAGGAGAGAGGAGTAGAAGAGTAAATACAAATTTGGCATGCTGATGTGGTCACTGCACTGGAGATTCATATATATGTACAGCTCTTGGTGTGTGTACTCACTGTAGCCGTCTCTCTGCACACTGAGACTCAGCGGGCGAATTGCACCGCAGCCATATCCAAATGTACCTGGAGAGACATACACGTGTGATCTGAATATTTTGTGCACTTAAATATTACTGTGTTAATGACACCTGCATTAGTACCTTGTTTGGAGTAGCAGTGGAGAAGACGTAGACTCAGTGCTGCAGACATCTGAGCAGAGAAAGCTTTTAAAAGAGTAAAGAATAGTTAGAAGAATGAAGATTCTCAGAGTAAACGTGAAAAAAGAAATTCACAACTGCACAATACCCAAGAGCTGCATCTGAGCCTCTACAGGCCTCACATAGCATGTTAAATGTTAAAGTTCATGACAGTATAATTAGAAAAAGACTGAACAACTGTGGCTTGTTAGTAGTGGCCGCTAGGAGGAAGCTTCTTCTCTAAAAAGAACAAGACGACATGGTTGAAGTTGGTAAAGCTGCCCTTGAAGAAGACTTCTGGAGCACAGTTTTTTTTAACAGATGAGACCAAAGTGGAGGTTTGGCCATATTGCACAGCACTACCTTCAGCAAAACTCAAACACAGCACAAACACTTCAAACCAACTGTTCAATCATGCTGGTGCAAGGTTTCTGATTTGAGCTTGTTTTGTAGCCACGAGAGATAGGCACCTGCAAGGTGCCTAACTCCTCCGTATGTCAGAGTTTTGTAGAGTGAAATGTGAGGCCATCTGTCCGACACCTAAAGCTTCTCCTAAATTAGGCCATGCAACAGGATAATGACCCCAAGCACAGCAGCAAATCTACAGCATGGAAGTCCAGACCTCAACCTGACTGAAATGCTGTGTATAAAGGAATGCTTGCTAATGCCAATGAATTGAAGCAGCTGAAGTTACTGCTGTTAACTACTGGCTCTGTAAACTACTCATAGAATGATTGTGATGTTGAACTAAAACAAATGCCTGAATCCTACATTGTGGATATCCTACTGTGGTGATCTGAAATGTGATTTAAAATCAGAGTTTTTTCTTTTGTATAATTTATTTTACGTCCAGGAGTTAATATATGCTAAAGAGTATACATTTTCATTATGTACATTTATGTACTGTCGCATACTAAGTGTAATTACATAGTTATTGCCTGAGACTATTGTTGTTGAATGAAAAACTCAAAGAAGGTTTCAGCAGTGGACCTGTGTGAAATCAGCAACTTGCAAAAATAAATCAAAACGGGGGTTAGTGATTCTGAGAAAAGCAATCGCAACAAAGTTCAACATTTAACCATCTGAGCAGCTTTACTAATGAAATTATATCAGACTTCAGAATTTATATGCAGTGAGATTTACTGATCAATGATCAAAGGGGAGATTTATGTCATTTATGCCAAATGTATTCTGGGATTTGGATCCAACAAGTAAAGTATGCATATTACGCACACACACACACAAGCACACATGCAGCTATTACCCATTTCTTATTTTTATACTTATTTTATACCTATATTTTTTACACTTGTTTTTTTACACTTGTTTTTATACTTATTTTTTTCCAGAACTTCAAGCATTACTTGTTTTGTTGTGTTTCTCAATGTTCTGAAGCTTGCAATCCATTTCTTTTTGTTTTATCTCCTTTAACCTTTTCTCTTGAAGAAACTCTACATTTGTGTGCAGTCTCTTATCACACCTTGCTTTCAGCACTCTGTATTTTATCTCCATGTCTTGGAGTTTGCATTGCATCTCTCTCTGTTTTATGCCCTGTTGTTTCTTCTCTTGGAGGATTTCTTTTTTTTTTTCCCCCAGAGCTTCACCAGGCTTTACTTGCATCTGCTGATTCCTTTTGTCTGTTTCTTGGAGATCCCATTCTTTCCATCCATCCATTCGCTTCCGCTTATCCTTTTCAGGGTCGCGGGGGGGCGCTGGAGCCTATCCCAGCTGTCATAGGGCGAGGGGCGGGGTACACCCTGGACAGGTCGCCAGTCTGTCGCAGGGCCAACACACAGGGACAAACAACCATTCGCACTCACATTCATTTGCACATTCACACCTAGTGACAATTTGGATTATCCAATTAACCTATCCCCACAAGCTGCATGTCTTTGGACGTCCAAACACATGCAGCTTGTGGGGATAGGTTAATGCACGGTGGTTAGCACTGTTGCCGCACAGCAAGAAGGTCCTGAGTTCAATTCCACCATCAGGCCGGGGTCTTTCTGTGTGGAGTTTGCATGTTCTCCCCGTGTTTGCGTGGGTTCTCTCCGGGTACTCCCATTCTTTTTCCTCAATAATACTTCCCTTTTCTTGAAGCTAGTAGGACTTTTTTTTTTTTAATTGGGCGCTCTTTTTCTCATTTTCTTGCATCAGGAACATAATTTTCAGGTTACTGCAAAGTCCCGTAAAACACTCCCTTTTCACCTGACTGTAAAGGGTTCGCTCAGTGGAGCCAATATTGCAGCAAATATTTTTTATAAATGTCGTATTAACCCAGAAAAGCTTCTCTACAACAAGAGAGGAGTGAAAAAAGGGAGACAGACTGCCAGCTGATCCGAGTCATCCTGTAATCTGGCGCCCCAAATCCCAACTATTACGTTAGCGATTTGCTACGTTCACGGGACGCTGTTTGAATCGGAAGAAATGCACTCTCGGATTATCCCTCGATTATTGACCAGTATTCGCCGTGTAAAATCGTAAAATACACAGGAAAGTCGATCAGCTGAAAAACCTATAAGCAGGGACATTACATAAAGACCTTAGTATTTCTTAACATGTAAACCCAGAGATAAATCAGTCGATGCCTTTACTGTATCGGTGCTAGTATAAAAATACGTATACGATCAAAAAACAATCCACCACAGAGGTTTAATCTGAACTACCTGTGTTTTTCGGACACATGAAGGACCAGCTGTCCTGACCAATGACAGGATAAAGCCTTTAACCCAGCCGCTGGTTCTAACATACAGTCTACACGATTCACCTGAACGCCTCCTTTCAAATAGCATAACAGTTAGCAAAATTAGGCTCTGGTACACTAATGCTGCCAAGCTAATTTCTTTAATTAAGCTTTATTTAGTTTTTATATATTTCCGTTCAGATGAAAAATGTTTTAATGCGCTAAGCATTCCTCATAAAGGTAAACTCATCGGTCAGCAACTTTGCAACCATGTTAGCCAGTTAATTTACGGTAATTTAGTATAATCGAGCTAACATGACAATAAGATGAACATAGCCTATTCTCAATGCTAGCTAATTTGCGTCATTATTAATGTAAATCTCTTTTAGACTTACCACTGGCACAAGTTTATGATGATCAACACTAAGGAGGCAATAGTCCCTAAACTGTGCAATGCTATTAATGCTGCATTCAAGGCCTCCACGTTGATGTTGTATTCACCGTCACCTAGGAAATCGCAACATTATTTTACCTGCCATTGAAAGTAACAAGTTATTTAATTTACCTGGCTTCCTAAAGTACGCATAGGCCTTCTTGTTTCCCACCCGCAATTAGGAAGTCCTATAAATGACAGAAAAGCCCCAATTGCACAATTATCACTTATATGTGATGACTGATGAATCATATTTAAGCAGTTTAACGGCATTTTCATGACAGTAAAAAAAAACAACAACAACAAAAAAAAACAAACCACTCCATAATTTTATCGTCATTGTTTGTGACGCGGAAGTTTATGTGAAAACTGCATTTGTGACGGTGAGAAATGAAGGCGTGGTGAACAAATGAGAGCATATGAGAGAAAGCAAGAGAGAGAGAGAGGAAGTTTGTCTTCCTCCTCCATCACTGGAGGATCACTTCACCTCTTCAGCAGCCAACTAATCAAACAGGGCGGAAATGTAAAAGGTAGTCACATTTAAATGTATATTTTAAAAGCTTTAACAGCTGTGGTTATGTTTATGACTTAAAATCGGGGGCTGGGGGGCTTGGTACACTTCTTTACTCTCATTCTCAACTTGGAAAATGCAGATTTCATAGATCCCGAGTCAAATAAGAGAGAGAGGGTGAAAACGTGCACAGAGACGTTTGCAGAGTGGGGTTAAGCTGTTTACCATCTTGGATGTTTGAGATTTTAAATATCTCTGACGCACACATCCTCATCGGTTGCATACTGGATGACGAGCCCATCCTCTTTTCTTTAGCTAAGATGTTGAATTCTTCGAGTCCAGCCCAGAAGAACCTCAGTGAAGAGGACAGCTCTGGATCTGAACCGGAGACAGACCGCTTTGGCTTCATCTTAACCAATGGTTCCACAGCTGGGTGAGCACATCCACCTTGCGCCTTGTGTACTCTTACTGTGCTGTTGGTGATCTGTTCAAAACCAGGGGATCTAAGTTTTCATTCTCCCATTAAAGAGATTTTTTTTTTTATTATTATAAGGGACTAAAAGACGTGCAGGGCGACCTTGTCGAGATCACACAGATCAGAAAGCCCAGGGACTTTGGTAATAGTAAGGTTTGCACCTGCTGTCAGAAGATATAATTTGAAACTAAATATTAAATATTATCAGATAATTTAATGGTTGTTGCTTTGTCTTTATATGAGCAAAGACAAAGGTTCCAGATGAGCTAAGAGTTTCTAATGTGGGCACACAACACCCCCTGAAGCAGCACACAAAGTAATTTTCCTCCATGACAAGACCAGGAAGTGTTGAAGCAGTGTTTAAATCTGCCGATTTTAAGAGACAGAGGAGCATTTGCACCCCCCACCCCCCCCACACACACACACAGCCAGGTGGACTAAATGCCATTAATAAAGAGTTAAAAGACAAATTGTTAGAGCAGAGATGTTAAGATTGAGAGAAAAAGTCACACAGAGTGAAAGAAAGGAACATTCAGGCTATACTGGTGTAGTGGAGAATCTGTAAGAATGCATGTCAGTTGGAAACACGTCAAGAAACAAAGAAATCAGGATGACCCCTGCAAATAACGTGGCTTTACGGCAGTTTCATAAGCAGAGCAAAGGGGGAGGAGATGCTTTAGAATGATTTAGCTGAGCGTATCAGTGAAAAAGCCAAGTGGTTTCAACCACAGTGGGCCTTCTTCAGGACGGAAACTGCACAAACAGATTGTTTACACTTGATATTCTTTACATATAATCCACAAAAAAAAAAAAATATTGCAAAAAACATAATGACTGAACTGAAAGTGGGTGTGTGTACTTGAAAAATAAAGTGCAATTTTACTTTCAGAATCAGCTGACTGTGCGTTTGATAATAGCCCTGGCAGGGGATTGCACACGAGGCGGTGTAAACTAAGCATTAAAACTAACTGAACAAACTGCAACCTGTCATCTTTACTTTCTTCATTGATAACATCCTGACCTGTTGCCATAGAGACTTCACACTGCTAACGTGTGGTTTTCCTGTTTCCTGTCTTGTTTTCGGAGCACTGTGTGTCTGTAATGACAACACACTAAACAGTGTGCAGCGACACAGCACTACAAAGGTCTCCAGAATTTAAATTGTTCAGCAAACAGGTGAAACGTGTCAAAATACTTACCTGGTGATTCATGTGCTGTGCTGTGTCAGGAGTTTGGGCCCGCCACCTGAACTGGTCAGGCAGAGGGAGGCCAAGTGGATAAAGATCATTGACCAATGGGATCGCATCTTGTCGAAGAAGAGCAGTAAGGTGCGTCCCGTCAAAGATGCCCGAAAATAAACCCTGGCACCAAATGATGGGCGATGGGCCTTATACATGATAGACATTGTGACACATCAGGAAAAAGCACAGTAACCGTTTGTTTTCCGGGTCTCTCATTAGGTCAAAGTGCAGTGTCAGAAAGGAATCCCTGCCTCGCTCAGAGCCAAGTGCTGGCCTCTGCTGTGCGGAGCTGCCAACAGGATGAAACAGCATGAAAACCTCTACGAGGCAAGAGAAACAAACACTCTCACTGGGATGGTTTAAGAAAGTGCAAGAGTCCAGCTGCAAAGACTTTATGTAAAAGATGGACATAGCCACCATGTTGTCTCTCGTTGGAGTTTGAAGTGCTGGTTTACTATTTGGCCGGCAACATGTTGTTCACGAGTGATTGATGGATCTAAGTGAGAAATTTAGGAAACTACATACTTATAGAGCAGCAACATCACATTCCCTAAATCATGCCGTCTTTATCATTCGTTTAACTATAAATGGGACTATAATTGTATTTTGCATTAAATACCACTTCAGATTAGCGACTAAGGCCGTAAACCTATCAGGAAATAATTTAATATGACCAAGAGGGTCATTTTCTAATTTTTTCTACACAATCTGACTTTTTTTTCCCCCCACCAGGAGTCTTCCCCTTCTGGCAATTAAACAAAATGCAGGTTTAAGGCATTTCTACATTGCTTTCTGTTAGACCTGGAGGCTATATTGTCCATTGTTTATATACAGTCTATGCCTGATCATCTATATATACTGTTCTAAGTTGTGAGATCTTGTGATCACTGTTTTCTTATATTTTATTGAGTAAAAGTTAAATTATTTATAATATTGAAAAACAAACTAACTTACTTAGAATTTTAAAGACTCAAAAATCTATTGTTTGGTATGCATTTTATGTTTTTTGTCTCTGCATCAGACTCTGGATGAGCAGCCGGCTCTGCAGAGCTGGGTGGATGTGATTGAGAGAGATCTGGACCGGCAGTTCCCTTTCCACGAGATGTTCCAGTCCAAAGACGGACACGGGTAGGCGACGTTTCTGCTATTTGTTTCTGAAGCTGAGAGCTGCAGAATAACCATACAGTTTATTTAGTGTTCAGCGTGGCTTTCCAATCTTTTCATAGTTTCCCTGGTTTAGCTTTCACAGTTAAAGGCTTATTCAACAGAACAGCAAACAGTCTTGTCACTTGTCTTTCTTTCTTTTCGTTATTAAATGTATAACTCTTGTCAAAGGTGACTGAAACCTCTGGCTGTGTGAGAGATGATTGTGGTGTATGTGTGTCTGCAGGCAGCGTGGTTTGTTCCGGGTGTTGAAAGCTTACACCCAGTATCAGCCAGATGAGGGTTACTGTCAGGCTCAGGGGCCGGTGGCTGCAGTGCTGCTGATGAACATGCCTGCTCAGGTAAAGGCCATTAACAGTTTAGCTTCGGTCTGATAAATCAGCTGCAAAGACATTAAAATAATTAGATTTCAGTGGAGAAACAACAACCTTCATTTAAGACACCGACTCTACCTTGCTTGTTTCATCGACCTGTTAAGCTTTTTATTTCAGAGGTATAACAGTATTAATGCAATCCTGAGAATACAGTGCTAATTTTCTATAATACGGAGCAGTTATTGGCCTAATGTTCACCTTATGTAACCTGGCAGGAGGCCTTCTGGTGTCTGGTTCAGATCAGTGAGCAATACCTGCCCGGATATTACAGCCCTCTGCTGGTGAGGACATGCACATCTTCTGTTTTTTACATTTTTTACCTTTTATAATACATATAATCAACACGTAGGCGAGTAGATGTTGATTTCAAGGCTGATTCTTGATAAGTTGTGCTATAAATATAACCCAAACACAAAGATGAATCATGTGTTGACCCTGAAAGCTGGGCAGCTGTCTGAGCCTACTGTGGTGTGCTGTGTAGGAGGGAGTACTGTTCGATGCGGCCATGCTGACCTGGGTTTTGAAAAAGACGTGTCCAGCTGCACACAAACATCTGCAGAACCACGGAGTGGAGCCCCTCATGTTTGCCACCGACTGGCTGATGTGTCTGTTCACACGTCACCTTCCATTCAACACGCTTCTCCGAGTCTGGGACCTCTTCTTCTGCTATGGTAGAGCTGACCTCAGGCTAACACAACCCCCTTAGGACTGGCAGGAATAGCAGCTTATTAAAAGCGATGGTTTTGTCCACTATATATAGAAGTGTTTAAATATCTGCACAATTCTTACATTTTTGGTCACTGCCATCATCTACCTGATATGTAGCATTTTCACCAGGTCTTCCTCTTTCGCCCTCATCTTTCCTCGTAGGTGTCCGGGTGCTGCTACAGGTTGCAGCGGTGCTGGTGCGCCGGGTGTTGGGTCGAGCTGAGCAGAGGAAGCAGTGTCAGGGCCAAATGGAGACTCTGGAGAAGTTGAGGGGTGTTAAGGAGGAGGTCCACGATGAAGATGACGAATTCATAGCAGAGGTAAGATTTCGATTTTTAAACCTGATAGGCTTATAGAGAAGCATCTTGTTCTCTGCCAATTACCTCAAGATAACAGCTTTCATTTGTAAAGCAACAGAGCAAGTAAATTAAACTAATCATGGCCACAAATAGTGTAAAAAGATACACCTCAAAAGCAAAAACCTTTCAAAAAGATGGCTGCAAACCAAAGAGATGAGGCAAATAAAAAAAACCCTGAAGAGTAAATTTAAAACATGTTTCTATCATTAACTTTGTTTTATTTAATTTTTTTACAAAATGGCACTATTCTATCAAATAACGTAGATATAAATCTTGGTAAGTTACTAAAACAGCTCAGCCACAAACATGTCTGATCCACTGTGGCATGAACGTGGGAGCTCTGGAGGTGTCCTGTGGTGCTTGGAATTAGTGTGTCAAAATTGCTCAATTGGATTATGATCTAAGGAATTTGGAGGTTAGGGGTAACTGTTCAAGGCTCTTTGTGGTGTTTCTCAGGGATCTTTAACAGGTTTTGTATTGTGGCGGGACACACTGTGTTGTTGGGGTACAAACTATCTGCAGAGTTTCCCTTCTTGTTTCAGGTGTGCTCTGTGCCACTGTCGGGTAAAGATTTGGAAAAGCAGACGGAGAAGGAGCTGGAAAAGTGGAGGAAAGAAAAACCATCGTCCACGTTTGACCCCAGAGGTCGCTGCCATGGATACCAGAAGGCGTGGGCTAGAGCTCGGCAGCATGAAATTGAGAAGGAGAGGAAAGAGAGACAGAAAGGGAACCTCTCTGTCCCACTAACTCGCTCAGCCTCCTCTCTCTCACTGTCTCCTTCCCTCCTTCACAAGAAGTGGAGGAAAGTGGGAAAAGGGAACACAGTTGACTCTGAAGGCAGTAACAAAGTAGTGAGGCATCTTTCAATGGGTGGAAGGGAGGACTGGAAAAGCTGGAATGAGTTTGACTTTAAGAAGGTACAAGGAGTCAAAGAGGAGGAGGATGTAGTTTCAGAGGGACAAAAAGAGGGACAAACTGAACAGAAGGAAATTTCACAGACACCTGACAAGATTCAAGAAATCAAAAATATCCAAACAGAAGAAACAGCAGCGGGAAAAGAACAGACTGAAAACACGGAAAAAGGAGTTGCTGAAATTGAGGAAAGCAGTGTCAAAGAGACAGAAACAGGTGATGTTAGAGAGATGGAGAAAAGTGTTGTCACAGAGACAAGTGTTGTCAGGGAGACAGAGACAAGTGTTGTCAGGGAGACAGAGACAAGTGATGTCAGGGAGACAGAGACAAGTGATGTCAGGGAGACAGAGACAAGTGTTGTCAGGGAGACAGAGACAAGTGTTGTCAGGGAGACAGAGACAAGTGATGTCAGGGAGACAGAGACAAGTGATGTCAGGGAGACAGAAACAAGTGATGTCAGGGAGACAGAGACAAGTGATGTCAGGGAGACGGAGATGAGTGTTGCCACAGAGACAAGTGTTGTCCGGGAGACGGAGACAAGTGTTGTCGGGGAGACGGAGACAAGTGATGTCAGGGAGACAGAGACAAGTGATGTCGGGGAGACGGAGACAAGTGTTGTCGGGGAGACGGAGACAAGTGTTGTCAAGGAGATGGAGACAAGTGTTGTCAGGGAGACAGAGAAAAGTGATGTCAGGAAGACGGAGACAAGTGATGTCAGGGAGACGGAGACAAGTGATGTCAGGGAGACGGAGACAAGTGATGTCAGGGAGACGGAGACAAGTGATGTCAGGGAGACAGGGGAACGCAAACTCAGTGATATGGATGAAACCAAGCTGACTGAGATAAATGAAAGCAAAATGCTTTCAGAACAAGAAGAAAAGATTGCCCCAAATCAGACTGTTGAAAATATTCTTCATCCCCCTGATTATGCACCTCACTGTGAACAAGAAGAAAAGCTGGACGCAGAGAGTGAATCACAAGTGCTAGAAGAACAAAGTCATAAAAGCAAAGACCAGGAAGTAGAGCTCAAAGACACAAATGAAGAGGCAGAGAAACACGTGGTTGCTGTGGAGGAAAACCACAGTGAGACACCGAGAATAGCCGAAGCACATACAAACACAGAGGACGAGATGCAAATAGGTGTAAACGCAGGCGAGGAGCAGAGGATACAAGCTGACGTGAAATCAGAAGAGAGTGCTGACACTGAAAGTGTGCAACAGGTGGAGATGAACGCAGACGTTACGGAGTCTAAAAGTGAGACAAGTGTGGACACAGACAGAGGTGTTGAAGCTTTAACTGTTGATGATCAGAATAGTGCAGCAGAGGCAGAATCACGACAGGAAAAGGAAGAGCTGATCAAGGAGACAGAAAAAGGTGCACTTGAAGTAAAATACCACAGTACTGAGTCATTAGTACAAACAGAAAAGGAAGCAGAGTCCCACACCCAAAGAGACACAGAAAATGAGGTTCTGACACATAATCAGGAAAATTCAGCCACACAGTGCGATATAAAGGTAGAAATTAAAGAAGTCGATTCAGAACAACAAGTAGATTCAAAGACAGAAATGGAGCTAGAAGAAGAAATATTAATGCTGTCTTCATCTGAATGCACTCAACAAAAAGAAAGCACTGGTGGAGTAGATGATCCAGAGACTAAAGCTGAGATAACAGTAGGAAAAGACACAGTGGAGGCGTCAAATAAGGCAACAGAAGAAATGATTTTGAATGTACACTCGGAGGCACAGGTTGAAAGTGATTCATGCATCTATACTCAAAAAATCACAGAGGAAACACCAACAGAAACTCAGACTTATGAGAAGCCTGCAGACTCTGCAACACCCATGGAAACGGAAGAGTCTGCAGCACCAGCTGATCAGCTCAACCACACCAGTGAGCCTGATGAGGAGAGTTCAGTACAAATTAGTACCTCTGAGACAAAAGCACCTGAAGAGACAACAAGCCAGGTTACTGTGGATGCTGAAGACTCAAATCAAAAGGTTCAACAAGTGGAGCCCACGCAGGAGGAAGAAATTACTGAAAAGATTAAACAAACTCCAGCAGGAGAGGACGATGTCTTCATTTCTTCTGAGCCAACAAATGTTCCCCAAGTCCAATGTTTTCAATCTGCAAAAGAGCCCCCGGTACAAACCCCTGAGCGTCGCAGCAGTCGATCATCCGCTGATTTCTGCGTTCGCAAGTCATCCACCTCACGTAGCTCCAGGCTAGCCCGCAGGCTTTCCGAGGATCTCTTCACCACCCCCCAGAAAACTTCAGAAAATCAACCAGAAGCCAAACTCACAGAGTCACAGTGCAATCCTAAAGCTGTGACCTCAAAACAAGCTGCTCCTGATCTGCTGCCGCCTGCAGCAGCAGCAGCAGCAGCAGCAACAACAACAGAGGAAGCCCCCACACAGCAGCAGCCACAGCCCGACACCCCTAAACGTTTTGGTCTCTTCCGCAGACTGAGAGGTGAGCATCACAAAGACAACAAGGATAAGAAGGCACCCAAAATGCAAGTGCCGAAAATCTTGATTCAAGACTTCAGTGATATGCCAGGGACTGGGAATGCAGCTGAGGAAGAGGCGGAGGACAAACTGAACTCCAAGGAGAGGAGGCGGCGGCGGAGGGAACAAGAAAGAAAGGAGAAGGAAGAGGAGAGGTTGAAAAAGAAGAAAGAGAAGGAGCTGGAGAAGGGGAAGGAAAAGGAGAGGAGGAAACCACAGACGAGAGGGAAAAGTTTTCAGGTGCAAAAAGAGAAACGTAGTGACGACGCTGCTCATCCTGCAAAGACTGACTCACAGACAATTCACAGACATTCTGCTGGTTATGCCGAGGCTTATTTTTGACATTACTCAGATTCTGCATCACTGCCTTTCTCTCTTTGAGCTCCACATTGGTGGATATGTGGAATTCCCTCATCCTAAATATTTCTCATACTTGAACTTTTCGACATGTAAATAAATAATAAATGATGTTTACATATATTGAAAAATAAGTTTGCTTTATTCGGTGGGACCTTTTACACTGCACCTTAATTACAAACTGGGCAAACACAAAATTAAAATAAATTGGAATTGCTTCATGTCTAGTTTTACATAATGAGAATTTAGAGGCTGGTGGCCTCTGCATATTTAACCAGGTCCAGGTACTACTTGTTCTGGCCAGTAAGGATGAAAATTTGTGTTCATTTCTTTATCTTCAAGTACTCCAGGTGTCTTTGTTTAACAGTGCACGCACATGCACCCACTGTCAGTTTAGTCCATGTCTCCTCTAGCCGATCAGTCTGCAGTTATTTAATTTTCTTCCTCACTGTCGCTGGCCAGCACCTCTTGAGAAGTCATCGGCTGTGTGCTCAACTGAGACGACGGGGGAAGCACCGATCCAAAGAAGAGCGACCGAAACTGTGAGAAAAATCACACACAAGGGAAATATATTAAAGACTACAATTTATCGAAATGTTAAGATACCAATATTTAATTAATTTGAGAGCATATGCAAACATTCAATCACTTGTTTATTTTTTTATTAAATATCTGCTTAAATGTGCACGCCTTTGTTCCAGAGGTTTCTGTGGTTTGTTCAGAAGCAACTCTGCAAACATAAGGTGTGCTGCCATGTTTTTAGAGAGGATTGTTTCTTTCGCCTAGCAACCCTCCAAACAAGCTATTCTTGTTCAGCGTTATTCTAATCACACCCTTATAAACCTTAACATTTGATATGCTAACTTGAGGCCCATAGAGTCTGAGAACTGCACGGTCTGACCTTTGGGTGAATTTGCCAGGACCTTCACTTCCAACAACACTGAGAGCTGTCTTGAAGGTTTTCCACTTGTGAATAATCTTCCTCACTGTACAGTGATGGAGTTCAGGTTGACTGGAAATGGTCTTATAACCCTCACCTGATTGATGGGCAGCAACAACTGTTTCTCTAAGGTTATTGCTGATGTCTTTCCTCCCTGGCACTGCATTAACAAACACCTGAATGCTCCAGACCAGAAAACAACCAGACCTCTGGTTTTATAAAGGTGAACACACTTGCTGTTAATCAGTTAATCAAGTGGATTTGATTAGCAGCACTTGGCTGCTACTGTATTTATCTTCACACTCAATTTCTGTGGAAGCAGTGAGGATATATTTAGTTACACACACGCACTGCTTGTGTGTAACATGTAAGTAATGATAATAATTCATGAGTTGTTATTAATCTAAAGTTGCATTTAGCTAATTTTAAGACCTAATAAGAACAAGTTGATTTTTTTGTTACAGCCTGACACATAAAACTAAATTAAAAGAGCGTGCGTGTACTTTCTTTTTCACGTGAGGACTGTATGTGGACAGTTGTGACGACTCAATTTTTAAAGAATCTGCTTCTTTTTGTATGTGCGAGAATATTTTACTTCTGTCTTTTTGATTCATTGAAGTGAATCCACAGCCTGTTAACACGCCTGAGAAACCTAAGGCATACCTTTTTATTAGGTAGTCTGTCTAAATCATCTGTTTCTTCTTCTTCTGCCTCCTCGATGAGAATCCTTGCCTTGTGGCTGACTGCTGCAGGCCGTTTTGAACGTGTGTCACCAGATAATGAAGGCGGGGGTGGACCTGTGTTTGAGGGACCTGGCGCAATACTGGTATCCATGGCGATTAGATATGAGTCCATGTCATCATTCATGAAGTCATCGGGAGGGGGTGGAGCTGCTGTGTGTGCTCTGAGGGGTGGAGCAGACGGTTTGGAGTGCAAGTCAGATAGAAAGATGACACACAAGATAAAAAAAAAAAAAAAAGCTTTTCTTGCTCCTTTTGACCTTCATGGTGACCGTTTGATTTTCTGGACTTGCAAAACAATAACAAATCAACATGACTAACCAGCTTCAATTTTAGAGCTCAATATCATAACAATTAAGCCTACGGCATTCTAGTTTTTCACTCCCATAAATATACTGAGTGCATTTATTGTGTGAAGATGCAACTACAAACAGCTGTTAACTGTGACATGAGTTCTCCAGATTTAGCCTCTCAGCCTCAGAATGACAAGATGTGAAAAACTGAATAAACACAGTTTTTTTTAAAGAGTTTATTCAAACTGGTGGACTAAGAACCTGGTCTAAACTCCTGGAGCAAATAATAAAAATCCATTTCCAACAACTGGAAATGTCGAGTATGAAATGTAAATGGGCTCCTCTAGCATTTGTCTTCATTTACACTCTGATCCACCAGGTGGCGCAGTAGGGTAAACGTTTAGAATTTCCTGCCTGTCACCGAGCTGTTAATAAGCCATTGTGTGAAGGGTACACTAGTTTTGTTTTCATTTTTCTTCCTGCTCACAAGCAAGAGAAAAAAACGTCCCAAATCAACAAAAATATGTTTTGTCGTTTTTACCCTTTGCTGCTATTTTTACGAAGGCTGGGATCATCAGAAAGAGTGGCCAGCACAAAGTTTCCTTCCAGGACACTGTCCGTTACTGAAAGCACCACAGGGCTGTCACACAAACAGACACAGAAAAAAATTATGTTATTAAAAAGGAAGAAACAAGTAATCAAAAAAAATAACCCACAGGTGGCGATGCTCACCTGCCCGGCTCGTCCAAGTACATAGAAACAGGGAGGCCAGTTGATTCTGCAAACACTAGTAAACCCTGAATGAGAGATACTAGTTAGTGACTTTGCAAACTATGCAAGCATTATAAGAACACCACAACATCTTGTAAGTGCTTTCATCTGGTCTCCAAATAACTTCTTTCACACTCTGGTCTGATAACCACCTATCTCCCCCTCCCAAACTAACTTACGCAACTCTCTCGTGATTTCCCTATATAGTTTCTCTCACCCGCAACTCCTTCAGACAAAAAGTCACACTGTTGTGAGCTTGGGCAGCAAAATGATCAAACTCGTCTGAAGCCAAACACAGCTCGGTCAGCATGGCTTTGGACGCCTCTGAGAGAGCAGAAAAACAAGAGGACAAAAAGCTGATTTTAAAACATAGCAATGCATGGCATTATTAGATGTCAGTTCCTGCTTTACCACTACGCTGGCGAAACTTTTTCATATCAGTCTTGTCACCTGCTTCTTCGTCCACATGGTTCCTGACCCACATCCGTTCATCACTCACTGACACAGTCACTTCGTCCAGAGATGGAGGAAAATGGACGACTGTGTCTACCAGCAGCCTGAGAACAAGAGAAATCAAATCTAGCTACAGCTACAAAGTTACACCTCCCTTAAAATATATTTTACTATTTAAATCGATTTATTCATTTAATCAACCAACTGAAATGTAAAAATGTTTTTCCTGGTGTTAAAAAAAAAGCTACACAGTGTTTGTCATCATCAAGTACAAGGAAATAAAAGATTAAAAGCAAGTGGGAGACTGTCATTGTCATGATTTGCAAAATAAACTATGAAGAAAGATTTTTACAGACCTGGGCTGGGCTCTGAATACATTGGCATAGCTGTCCTTATCAAACACTGCCTGCAGGCTCTCGCTGTCCTGGAAAGACAGGTTATGTGTCTTCAGTAGGCCTGTAAAGAAAAATCACGTCAAGTTTGTGAGCAAATAGAAAGCAATGAGATGAAAGCACGATGGGCTTCATTAAATACAAAATATGTGAATGTAAACAAGATGTAAAAGTACAATGTAACAACTTGTTTATAGAGGTTATTAAAAGAGTTGCTTTACAGGCAGAAGATAAAATAAAAAGACGCAAAACATTATTTATAAACTGATGTGAAATCAGAATTTATGGATTCAAAGTGTCACAAAAATCCGATATGTATTAATGTGTAGAAGTCCCATTTTTTTAAGTGCTCTTGACCAAAGTTCTCCAGGCCTTCTGAAGGTCTTCTGGCTTCTTCTTCATTCCTTTTTCAGTCCAGTGCTTTCACCTGAGCATTTTCCAATCTGTGTATTTTAACAGATAATTTAGCAAATAACTCATTTTAAATTGTATCTTTAGGCACTTTGTTATTAGCAGCCTGTAACAGATTCCCATTACTTTAGTTGAATCTATGAAAAATGCCAAAGGTAACAGTTTGAGAGGCATAAAATCGCATTTTTGCTCCATGAAAGTGATTCCCAAATAGCCAAAGTATACACAGTGGATGAACAGTCATGGCTTAAGACATGGAAAGAACAGGAAAGAAAATCCAGCAAAGACCCCATACAAGACCTGAGAGATGCATCTGGCCCTAAATCTGATCCATCTACTGTTCACTGAAGTCAGATCAGCAAAAAATGTGGCTGTCAGGAGAAATTAGACAATAACTGTGACAGCTGCATCAGGTCTTATGAACTAATGACTCTAAGTTTGGTCCAAATAATCATCATTATATGCAGAGGAGGTACAGCAGTGAGTGTCTACAGCCATCTGTAAAATACAGTGGAGGCTCTGTCATGGTTTGGAGCTGCTCGAAACATAATATCTTTCTATAATGGTTACAACTTTTATTTATGAATTTCTTCACGAATGAAAGTCGTTCAAAACATTACTGCTACTTTCAGTGCTATTGATATTTATTTAAGACTCTTGTTTTTTAATCATATCTATCTAATAGACTCCAATCTGTTCATGTAAATGAAGAGTCCTCTTCACATGCTAAGGTTAATTATGGAGTTCCACGGGCTTCCCTTCCTTAGGCAGTATCATCAGAAGGCATAGCATACATTTTCACTGCTATATAGATGACACTCAACTTTACCTATCCATGAAGCCAGATAATACACATCAATTAGTTAAACTGAAGGAACGTTTTAAAGACATAAAGACCTGGATTACCTCTAATTTTCTGCTTCTAAATTCAGACAAAACTGTGGTTAATGTACTCGGCCCAAAAAATCAGAGACAGATTCTTACTCTGGATGGCATTAACATGGTCTCCAGTAACACTGTGAGGAATCATTTTTGACCAGGATATGTCCTTCAATGCACATATTAAACAAATATCTACCACTGCTTTCTTCCATTTGTGGAA